ACTGCTCCAAATATACCATACCAACATTAAACTGAAAATAGAAAAGGGCTACTAAATCACGGCTGACAGAGCTAAATGCAGCGTTAAAATGCAGTCCTAATGCTCAGCCAGCCATGGCTTAACCCCCTTTGATCAGTCCGGGTCATTACTTGTTTGGAATAATTCCAAATGATTCTCTTGAGTTCTACTGTTATATTCAGTGGCTATATGAAGTCCAGAGTAAGCCTCGTGTCATAGAAATCACAGGATCTCTATTATAATAGTTTCTGGCTTTCACCTGGTATGATCTTTTCAAAAAACAACTTTGATCAATTGCTTTGCTACATAAATGATAATCCTACAAGACTTTCTAGTCCTAGGTAGAGATTTCAACTTGGTTCACATTAGTCTACCACACTGACCCATCCCCTTATTCTCTGGTTCTTTAAAACGAGTCGTGTTCCTACTTTTCCCTCTGCCTCAAATCCCTTCTTGCCCTTTATTTTGTTAATTCCTATTGATCTTTCAGATAATTATTACTTTGTCTCCCCCAGGTCTCTCTGCCACAGTCATCCTGAAGGCAAGTTTTATCAGGAATAGTGCCCAGAGCACAGGAGACACTTATTAACAGATCCACTAATCATCCTATATATTTTATGGACTCCTGGAAAGACCTTGTACAATATTCTAAAGCAAACTTCTAAGAAACATAGTACAAAGGAAGTAATACCTTAAAAGCTTTCAGATTTCACAAGAACATTTCTCAAAGCCCCTAATTTCTTTTCCCTTGCCATAACTGCCATTAATTAACCCAGACCTTCTCCACATACCTTGCCTTTTAGACAGATACGTAACAGCAAATCTGTCACAGGGTGTGGAGGTTGATATCTAACCCAAATCAAATCAGATCCAAGAATAAAACCAATTCTCTCTATCTGTCTCTGACATTTGTAACCATGAATGATGAGACATTTTCTTTTGGACTAACCATTCATCTCTAACTTGGTAAGGACACCTTATTTAAAAAAAAAAAAAAAAAAAAAAAAAACAACTATCTAAAGATAGCCTGAAAAACCTGGTAAAATAATTTTACAATACCCCATATGAAAAATGATTAACTCAGCATATAATCAAAAAGCATATACACAAAGCACAGAAGGCATGTCGAAGACAAGGTTAATAAACTACATTTACAAATACATCTGATGCTCCTTTTTTTTCCCCCAAGTAATAAGAGACCTTCAGTGTTCTTGGAGAGTGGCAGTGAAAGCATTTAAATTATTGGCTCTTTTAGGGGGAAGATACATAATTTAGCAGCAATATGAACAATCCATGTATTATCCATTAGTAGTATCATGTCACTTTGCTTGTAGCTCTGTGTTTTTAGATGCTCTGAGTGAGGTTTTGTTTCAAAAGTTAAAGAAACTGGGGGTGCAGATCACTGGTGCCCAGCAGCACAAGAAAAGAAAAAATAAATAAAAGGTAAAGAGCAAACAAAAAGCTAACGAACACAATTCTTTCCTTTTCTGCTTTTTGGGTTTTTGTTGTTATTGGTTTGGGTTTTTTCAGTTGTTTTTTTGTTGTTGTTTGTTTTGTTTGGGGGGGGCTGTTTTTTATTTTCTTGAGACAGGGTCTCGCTATGCAGTTCAGGCTGGCCTTGGGCTCACTTTGTAGCCAAGGCTGGTCTCGAACTTGCAGTGATCCTCCTGCCTCAGCCTCCCAAGTACTGGGATTACAGAAGTGCACCACCAAACCCGGCTTGTTTTTGTTTCTGAGATAGGGTCTGCTTTAGCATCCCAAGTGCTGGAATTTCTTTTTTCTTAAATAGAGTATTTCATGAATTTGTTCACCATTGTACAGGATCAGCGCTAATCTCTCTTACTCCAATTTTAGCACATGGATTGCACAAGTGATCACCTCTTACATTTTCAGTGTCAAACACACATTCATACAACACAAGGCATCAACCGAAATTTGAAACCAAGCAAAAAAACAGTTTTTCAGTGCAATACTCTGCTTCAATCTGTAGGACTTATTTACAGAATTTTGGCTGGCAGACACAAAAATAATTTCTATCTAGTGAAATAACTCAAAACTTAACCTGTAGGAGTTAATTCTATATCTAATCTATAATCTGAACTTTTCTTTATTAAATGGTCTATAAATACTCAAATGTAAATATGAGAAGCTTTAATATTCCACTAAATCCCTCATTAAATGAGTTGAAATTATTGGCACATGATGACCTCATCAACACATTTACACCAAGTCATGATTTTACCTTTCTGGAAATTTTATCGTAACAGTTTGGAAGGTTCTGCCACCATGTGGAAGTGGACTAACCTGTCAGAGCCAATTAAATTACACTGCTCCTTTCACACATACATAAGATATTTCTAATAAAGAAATCTGAGCTCAGAATTGCTATCGCATTTACAAAAACCAAAACATAGAAATATAGAATTTTTGGTTTACTGGTGATGCTGCAACTTTTAGAAACTGAGTGTCCAAACTGCCACCCAAAACCCACTTATTTATCTCAAAGTGCCAACACTGCAAAAATACCTAGATAGGTTTTAGTTTAGAAAAAACAACTCTAAATTAACATCTTTTGTTTTAAAAGAAAAACAAATAATACCACCAGTGATCTAGATGGTAAATATCTTTTTGAGTAGGTGTTTACTTTTTTTAAATTCATCTCTATATTTTTAAGGTCAGCACAGTGTTAAGACCAAAAATATATTCTATAAACATTAAATGAATGTAGAAAGCTAAAATGCATCATCTGTCCAATGGCAACACCAACTGGAGGAGAGAAATATTACAATCAAATCCTAGCAGTTCTTGTAACTAACTATATCAGCTGGAGAAGGGAGGTCAAGTTCTAGCTGATTTTTTCCTTCATTGCTGAGGATCAAACCCAGAGCCTCACTCACACAGGCTAGGCCAGAGCTCTACCACCAACATCCCTATCTCTAAATATTTTGATGTAGTTGCCTCAGAAATGGTATATAACCTCTAACTGTCAAAGACACAGCTGATACATACTAGTGAAGGTAAACCTTTTAGAGCTTTCAATGATGACAGTTGGCTGCTGCAAACGTTCCACACACAGGTTTGCCACCTCTGAGAATTTAAAACTTCCTGAAAAAGGTGACTTTTGAGCACCAAAATGCTACAACTTTTATCAGGCACTACAATCCTACATATGGCAATGTTGCAAATATGACAAAACTGCATATAGTTCAAATTGCTTTCACCAAAAAATTTCCCAAAATCTATTTTTTAAAAAAGTTTTTCATGTGAATGTACCTCATTTTATAACAGCATAGCAATAAATACAAACTGCTTAAGTTCACCACAAAGACCAAATTTTCCAGTATGTTTTTACTTCACAAGGAAAGGATAAACCACAACTGTGGAACACAATACAGTATTTATAAGACACCTGACAAGCACAATGGATGAATGCAAAGTGAGAGGATCAAACCAATGGATGTTAGTCCTGGTCTTGTTTCTAACCTAACCTACAAAATCAAATCTGTACCTACAAATGAATGGATTTTTAAGGTCAAAGCTACTTATCCTTAAATACTATTTGCACCAAAAAGTATAATGTGCATACATATACTTTGCACCTCATCGCTAACAATAGAGGTACGAGTGAGTCTACCTGATAACTGCACTCACACTTCTGTGCGCTAGAAAGGCTAATTACTACCTAAGCATTTTCCCCTTTGCTTTTAATTCAGGCCACAGTCTACTATCGCCAATCGGCACACTTTCCATTTTGTTCTCTCTCCTTAGAGGATTGAGCTACACATGGAAGGAAGGTCGATTTAACACTCTGGAAGCTGGCACACCAGTAAAATGACAGTAAATTCCATCAAGCGTTTCACAAAGATGAGACTTGGTGCATGTCCCAAGGGAAGCAGTAACTTCTTGTAAGGATTATGAAAATAGAAAATCTGAAATTCTGAATGCATGCATGAAGGAAAGGTTTGAACTTTGAAAGACATTACTGTATGAAGAATTATTTTCCAAATGTGGTCTTTCAAGTTAATAGTTTCTTCACTATTTTAAAATTTATTCTTGGTTATTTTGCACAAAACACAGAAGACGCTAAATTTGTAACAATGGCCAGGCAACAATAGCTAACCTGAACATATGTATGGTCTTTAAATTTGTCTTGACCTTACAAAAAGGCTCTATTGCAAAAATGACAATCTAATTATTCCCTAACTCCAGGAAGGGAGACTGACACCATGTACAGGACAGATGCACCCTAGCAATGCACCCAAATTTGTAAGACCATTAGTGTATAAACTGCACCTTTTTTGTTTCTTAAAGTGATTCCAAGCTCTAAATCAAATCCAAGGAAGAAAAAAAATGACCAAATTATGTAAGGGAAGTCTCTTGTATTCAGGTAAGACATCTTTTGCTTGAAGTGGGGCGGCGCTTTAGAATTACCTCGAGAACTGAAAAATGAGTATTATGACTCACTGACATTTCACACATGTGAAACATCCATATTATAAAAAAGCATCGCCTCCTGCGTGAGTGGACAAGCTTGACAAGCAAACTGCCGCGGGGAGGAGGGGGTGTTCCTCCAAATAACTTAATTAAAAAGTAATTCCCCGACCTGAAAATATGTTTTTGTTTTAGACACTGTTTAGCACCAGCGGGTCTTTCTATTGCCTGAATCCAGCCTAAGGACAACAAATTGGTCAACGACGGAAGTTGCCTGACTGCAACATGAAATCCAGTTTTATCATCAAAACAAAACCTTCCTTCCGGGACCGGACCAAAAAAAAAAAAAAAAAAGCAACACTAACTTGAGCAAACGTCCTTCAGATGCAACAGGCAATGACGAGTCCCCTGTCGCCAGCCGAAGATCAACGACTCGGCCGGGAACCCGAGCGCGGCGAAGACGGCTGCTCCCCGTTACACCTCCCGCGCGGCTGGCCAGACACCCCGTCTGCTCCCCGCACCTCCCCCGCCCTCGCTACCCAGGCACTGACCTTCCGCAGGGCCGCGACCAGCAGTCCCCGCCATTTCGGGCTGTTCTCCTCGCTGAAGAACTCGTACGGCTGCGGCGCCTGCTGCATGGCCCCGGCCGCAGCGCCTCACATCTGGAGCCTCAGGCCTGACGCGCGGGGCGCGGGGCCGCCTCGCCTCGCCTCGCCAGCGGCCACCGCCTCCCGCCCGGCCCGGGCCGCAGCTACGGCCAAGGCGGCTGGGGGCGGCGCCGGCGGGCGGGCGGACGGGCGCGGGCCCGGGGCGGTTTCCTCGGCCCCTGCGGCCCTGACGGCCCCGGCTTCGCACAGCGCCCTCGAGGAAAGCGCGGCGACCCCCACCCCGGCGGCGACCCCCTCTGCGGACGGCTCCTCCTCCTTTGTCTGGGCCGGCAGCGCGCCGAAGTCCCGCCGGCCTCGCCCCGCGCGGGCTCCCGCTACAGTCGCGGCGCGCGGACAGCGGCGGCGGTGGCCGCTGCTCTCATCGCCTCCTCCCCGCCCTCCCGACAGGCAACGCCGCCTGGCCCGGCCCGGCCGAGTCACCTCGCAGGGCCCTAGGGACCGGGCGTGCGCACAGAGGCAGCGAGCCCCACTCCCGCGCGCCCGCGCTGGCCTCCACCGCCGCCTCAGCAGCCGCGCGCAGTGCCCCGGGGCCGCCGCCGAGCTCCGGGACCCCGCGGTGGCGGCTCGGCCCGCCCCCTCGGCGCGGCGCTCATTATCCCGAGCCGCCGGCAGAGTCCACACGGAGCATGCGCAGCGCAACGAGAGCAGAGGCGCCGGCCGGGCGCGGGGTGCGGGGGCCGCGGTGGGGGGTCGCGGCTCTCCTGGGAACTTTGCGGAGGGCCTCCTCCGGACGCTGGCCTCTACTTTCAGGCTGCTTTTGACAAACGCACGCCCTCCCCGAGGCAGTCCTGACCGGGTGCGGCTTTCGCTGAGCCTGGAGCCACGGGACTGCAGTCGTGGGAGGCCAAAGAGGGATATGGAGAGGACAGGGCTTGCGGCTGCCGCGATATTTCGCATATTTGTGCTTTTCATGGCTCCTTTGTGTATAGGTGGATGCGAACTATTTCCTAGGGTAGTGTTGTGGGGCGTGCAGACCCCTTAAAACACACGGTGGTAGGATCAAAAGAGAGAAAAACGACACGAACCGAGCTTGAATGATCCTGCCCTTGAATAGGCCCCAGTGTGTTCACAAAAATCATACCTTTAAAAAGTTTCAGACGATATACTAGAATTGTTTTTTGAAGCGTGCCCTTCTAATGATAGACGATGCTGATTCTACACCTCTATCTGCCCCTGGTCTTACTCAAGAGCTGAACAGATTCTCTGAGTTGAAGAAGCAGAGACTCAAAACTTTATCATTAGCACAAATTTCATCCCACGAGCAATGTCAACCATGTGACTTCTGAAAGGTTCTGTCTGTACTGTCTGTCCCCAGCCACCCACAGGGAAGAAGGAAAGGGAGAAGGTGAAAAAGCCTGTAGCACAATTCGGGTTCCATAATCAGTAGCTCAGCTGTTACTGCCCCAACACACACCATTTTGTCATCTTGGCAAAATGACAATGGTAGACTTGTAAAATTTAGGAGATCATGTTTTCTAATCCAAGAATGTCAAGTAATAAATGACCACATCCATAACCCATGTACTTGGATAAAAGGTGGAATTATGCAAAGCTTCTGTTTCTCCAGTTAATCTTTAAAGACTTTGGCTTACATACAGAGTCTTTACTTTCCTCTCCTGGTCCCAGACCCAGGCTTAAAGCTTGCGAGGCTGTGACTCGACTTTCTCCGTGAAGATTAAAGCTGTTGATACGAAGGTTTATTCTTAGCCAACGCTGTGGGAAGATTTCTCTGGGCCTAATCTGGCCTGCAAACACATTTTGCTTAGCTAGGGCTTTATTTAAATGTTTAAAATGGTTGTTACCGTTTTAAAATCAGGACATTCCATATAAAAATCTATGGTTCCAGCTTCTCTTGACAAAAATCTGGCAACAGTACTGCATCTGTGTACAGGAGTAATCAGCAGGCGCCCGGCAGTGGCTGGCCTCTTTGAGAAAGTATGCCATCCTATTTCCAGTTGGCTATGGTCCCCACCTGGCACTCTGCACCCTTTTATGTAACCTGCCTCGTCTCTACAGGCATCCGAGTTGGGATCACTGGGCTAGGCAAGCAGAAATGTGATCCACGTGCTCATGGAGGATTTCCAAGAGTGACAGAAGTAAAACATTTCCCAGCCAGACTAGTGGGCCATCTAGAAAAAAACAAAGTTGAAGTCACACCCCACATATTACACTACCATAACTTCTTACTGTATCAAAGATTCACACATAAAAAAAAACAGAAAATAATTTTTTATAACCTTAGAGTAGAAAAGTAACTGCTCCCTAACACAGACACACACATGTTGTGTGTCTCATGTATGCTGGGAAAGCAACAAAACGTCTTTTCACATGACACAAAATTCAGATTGATAAATTTGATTTTAAAGTGTGATTCCCATGTTGAAAAAAAATCACAAACTAAAACCGAAGGAAAAATATCTGGAACTCATTTTTAAAGAGTTAATTTCCTTAACATAAAAAGTGTTCCTACAAATTAGTAAGATCAAACCTCAATAAGAAAAAAAAAAAACTGTGGATGACAGAAATGAAAACATACATGTCTCAAGCCTACTGCATTCAAGAAAAATACAAATTTAAAATATACTGTTATTTGATCAAAAAGTTTGATTCACACATCATATGATGGTGAAGATTAAAAAATCAAGCACTCTATTAATGATGCAAGTGCAAATTGCATTGATTTCTACCCAGGACTGTTATTTGGTACCTATTAACGTTTCAAGAAGCCAGGCAGGATGGCACACGTCAATAGTCCCAGCTACCCTGGTGGCTGAGGTGGGAGGCTCACTTGAGCCTAGGACTTGGCAATCAGCCTGGGCAATATTACAAGACTCCATCTCAAAAACAAAACAAAGCAAAACAAAACCAACGAAGTTTGAAAGGTACATACCCATGTGCTAGTCTTGTCAGCATTTATAAAAATTGAAAGGAACATACCTTTTGACCTAGCAGGTTCTAGGAGTACATCCCAGAGATATTCTTTACTTGCACTTGTCCATGTGCAAAATCACTTGACAAAAGGTGCTGTTTGTTACAGCAAAAACAAAACAAAAACATACCCTGCAAACAATTTAAATAATCTTCAGTAGTACTAGGGCTCTAGGTTCAAAAATAATAAAGTCCATATAATGTAACCTATGATGTTATTATAAAATAACCAGGTCTCTGGGCAACATTCTCCAAGATATACTGCAAGGCAAAAAGAGCAGAATATGTATTGTATGCAGAATGTAGCACTATTGGTATTTTTTTAAAGCAGGTAATATTTTATTAAAGCAGGTACATGAATATAATTTCTCTGCAAGGCAAAGACAACAAGAGTTTTCTTGTCATGGTGTTAAAACTGGATGGCTGGAGGAGAGACTGAGTTTTCAACTTTGGCTTCAGGTGTTGAAAAGTGGAAATGTTAAATATTCTGACATTCTAAGAATGTGCATGAACATATAACTAAGAGCTCAATCACAAATCTGAACTGAAATTAATATACTAATTATTATATTCATCATTTGATACATACTAATTTTGCTTGCCTTTCCCAAATTTAGCATGGTTTCAAGAGAGAATTTCAATAACCCAAGCATTTGTTTCATTTTAAAAGATGGTTAAAATTGTAACACTCCTATTCCTCCAATGAAAAACATTTCTAGACTCACTCAACCTTCCTCCCATTTACTAGTTTATACTTCCTCAATTTATTTAAAACTACCAGTGCTGCCAGTCAGTAGCAAACCAAAGCACCACCACAGGAAACAATAAATGTTGTTGTCACTCACTTTCATGGTTCTTTGGTCTTCTTACAATCCATTTGCCTGAAAGAAGTTGCAGCAGACATTTTATGGTAGCTTCATGCCCTGAAACCTTACCCCGGGGACAGACTGTGTACAAAAATGTCTTCCCAATTGGGACTGTAATTTTTAATGGAATTCTCAAAGATTTATTTATTGTGTCACCCTACAAAACAAAAATAAAGCATTAGGGTTTGTATGTTACTTGCAACCTGCTAAGGAACAGAAATGACATCCCTGTTGCTCTGGAATGTAAAGACTGAGATCACCCAATCTGTTGCCATCACTACCAAATGGAAAGTAATGTTTTGTAAGTAGCTGTTCCAGACACCGACTCCTATAGAAAAGGTGAAAGCGAAAGACACCCTCAAGTCCTTGCTTTTGGATTGCTACAATAAAGTCCTCCAAGTCTTGATGGTTATCAAGTTGAGCTGTCAGCAATGACTGTATTCACAACCCGGGCAGTACAGCTACAAGCCAAAGGTTGGTTTGTCAGTAATCATGCATGTATATGGGTCCTGATCAAAGAACATGGAACTTAGTATGAAGAAAAAAATGAATATTGGATTATTAGTGTAAGTGTTAACAAAGTAATGTACTTAAATTATTTACTATCTGTGCCTATTAGTTATGCTGGATATAGTATACAGTAGGCAACTTATACTTAATTCTTATATTGTCATAGATTGTGAAGCTAAAAGAAGTATTCCCCAGTTTCCCTTGCAGCCAGGATTGGTCCTGTAGGACTTAGGCTGGGCCTAACAAATACTCTGGCATGAGCCTCTGGAAGACAGAAATGAGATGTAAGCTGCTGAGCTGGTATTTCAGCTGGCACACATCAGTCACTATTCTTGTCATGGCTTAGATCCACTCTGGGCTGCTGGTGAATCAAACACAGTGTGATCGAAAAGTACAGTGAACACTCAATTTTATTTTTAAAAATATTTAAATTTAAATTTAATTGTAAAAGACATATTGCCACTCATCCCCTTTAAGATACTTCTCTGGCTCTGAACACACTTATCCCATTATTCTTGCCACTTTCTGAAGCAGTTCTGGACGTCCCCTTTTGGGTCTTAATAGTACTGGTGCGGCTGCCTCAATATCCTGAATCAATTTACACTGATAACTTCATGGACATTTGGACTTTGAGAAAGACACAGAAGTTGCATAGTGCAGAAGTGGTGAATAAGGTGGATAAAAACACACCACAATGTTTTTTTTACAAGTTTCCCTTTCTATTGGATGATACTAGGTAGCAACATTTGCTGTGTTTTTTAAGTCATATCTCATAAATTGGTGAAAGAGGACTTGCAGAACTGCTTCAAAAAGTGGCACGAATGCTAAGTGCTTCAAAGCAAGGGAAGTATTTAGAAGGGGATTCCTGGCAATGTGTCCCTTACTGTAATACGTTTTAAACACTCACTGTATATTTTGATTGCTCCTCCTCGTTGTTTTGTGGTCTGATTCACAGTGGGGTTTTGAGACTTGTCCCAGAAAGCCCAACCCAGTTTACTTTAACAGCTTTCTACTGACGTTGTGACCTTGCACTTGCCAGGCAGGCACTGCACTGCTGAGCTGTATCTCCAGCCTGACAGGCTTGGTTCCAATATTTATTTTTACAGTGCTAAGGACTGAACCCAGGGCCTCATGCATACTAATAAGCACACATTGTACCACTGAGCTACACTTCTACCCATCAGCTCCTAGTATTTAGAAGGATCTAGGCAATCAGACCTTTTTATATGCCCTGCTGGAATGAATGGTCAAGAATCTAAGAAAAAGGCAATCACAAGTCAAAGGATCTGTCATTCTGGGAAAGAACCACTAAGCAGCCAGTGTGATTCTTGAAGCCTGTCTCCAATCCTAGTCAGATATCCAAAAACAACCTTATTCCTAAAGGACAACTCTTATATTTCCAGTGAGCAAAATTAAAGAAAATTAAGTCTGAATGACATGAGGAAAAAAATCAGCCGCATAGCCCTTAGTTCTATTGTGTGACTGTTTCAGAGCAACAAAGTTAAAAGCGGTAATTCTAAAGACAAATTTTAAGCAAAACTCAGCTGCAATTCAAGTTTCTCTATTAAGAGATTTCCCCGTTGCCACTGCCCCTCAAGTCTTTCTCTAAATTTAAAGTGGGGTTCCCTGGGCAACCAAAGTCATGCCTTTACACATATTTCTTCCCACATTTCAAAGGTAAAGTTCCTCATCGTATCCAAGAGGCAAAAGAATCTTAAATAACATCTGTCAGGCTCTTCTTTCAGCAGAAAATAATAGCACTTGATAAAAAAGGACATAACCCTTTCTATGACCTGGGCTACAAAAATAGAGTTGGGAGGGCTGAGCGGGAGTGGCAAGGGAAGTAAGTCGTCCATGTACAAGATCCCAATAACCTTAATACATATAAATATTATGAGCTAAGATTAATAATGTCAGTAAGAATGAAAATGGAGAAAGGGGAATTAGGAGAGAAGGATGGGAAGGGAAGGAGATTAAAACAAGAGACAGCAAGCTGGGGATATACCTCAGCATCACAGCCCTGCCCTACCAGAAACAAAAACAAAAACAGCAAGTTGCAATATGTACACAGATCCACTCACGAAGACGACTGCAAAATGCATGTACTGCAAACATGTATTTCGGGGGAAAAAAGCAGATGGCTTATGTCACCACTGTTCTTTACTTCAAGGCTTCGGGATCTTATTTCCATTCTTAAAGTCTTTCATAGGTACAAACTACTGGAAAACATTTCCAGGCATCTTTCTTTTTCCTAACCTCTTTGTTTTGTCATTGCCCTCACCTTCTACCTTAAATCCTGATAAAAAGATTTCAGAAACCCCCATGAATATATTAGAAAAAACTTAGCAACAAATTCCCCTTCAAAAATCTATGTTTAGATCATAGTTCATACTCAAAAAAGATGAGGAAATATCTGAACAAAGTAGCCTACATACAAATCAAGGCAGAGCCAGCGCCCAAACATGGACATCACCTCTACTGGGTTCCCAGGGTTAACCTCAGTCACAGCTGTCCAGCTGGACAGCTTCCAAATACAGGCCCAATGGACGCCCCCCATACTAGAGCCTGGCCCTATACACCCTTCTCACCACTATCCTTTGAAGGAAGTCGTGAGAGTTAAAGTTATCCCACAGGCAGGCAGGCAGGCTTCCAGAAGGCCTCGAGGAGATGGAACTCTGCCAGTAGCAATGGCAACTGCCCAAAGAGTATAAACTTTGACAGGATCAAGGGAGGGACTTTGATATACATGTATGTGTGTGGATAAAGTTTAGTTATATAACATCAAACACCAAAAAGTGTACTTGCTATTGCACTAAAGAGTTCCTCACAAACAAAATGCTTTGAAGCTAAAACCTAAAATAATTTACTTCTAACCCAACATATAAACTATACTGGTTCATTTTTATGTTATTCACAAATACAGAAGTGCCTTTTAATTTTTTATCTTTTTTTAAAGTTTTGAGTCAGGGTCTCACTGTTACCCAGCTGGGACTTGAATTTGACATCTTCCTGTCTCAGGTTCCCTAAGTGCTAGGTGAGATTGAACCAGGCTTGGTTTTTAATCTTTTAAAGATTGACTATTATCTAAAGTTATGACAGTTCATGTTTTACACATAGAATATTTATTTGAATAAAAGTTTTGGGGTTTTTTTGGCCTTTTTCCTTTTTATCGGTACCAGGGATCGAACTCACAACTGCTTGCTTGCAAGGCAGGCGTTTATGCCGCTGAGCTAAATCCCCAGCCCTGAATAAAAGTTTTTATAGAATTAAAAAAGTGCTTTTCACAATCAAGGGTCATTAAAATATTTTAATACTAATATACATTTTCTTCTCTCAGAAACACAAAATTCTTCAATATCATAACAGTATTTAACAATAAAACTCCTTAGACATAAATATCAAATGTTTTACAAACAAAATAATTTATATGTTCAAAACACTTTCAACAAATTTTATACATATAATTTTGGAGACATAGTACAGACCAAAAGGGAATGAGGATTGCTTCAATTAGGAAAGTTATTTCAGTCTTTCACAGTTTACTGTTTATGCAGTCTTACTGTTGACAAACTAGAGAATTGTATCATTTTCCATCTCTCAGTAGTCTTGTAACAAAACAGAAAAATATCCTGTGGGTTGCATTTCTTGCTGGAATCAGTTGTTAGGATGAACAACTGCTTGTTCCTCCGTCTGCAAATGATTTCTGAATGCTTTTGACACGCACATCCCCTTTGTCGAGTAATTGCCCCGTCTATTTACCTTGGATGTGCTGCTTTTGAACTGGAGTTGATGATGTGTATCCTTTCAATTTAATGGATGAGGTAGCTCAGTCAATGTAGTCATCAAGGACTGAAGTGAAGGGAAAAGGAGGAAAACAAGAGTTTCTCCTCACAGCTGCATGCACATCTTTCCCACCCATCCATCAGACCGCTTTGGAGAGATAAGAGGAAGGAAGAAATGAAGAGCAGATGACTAATCCTGAGAGAGCACATGGGATGCAACAGACAAAGAAAAATTTCTTTTAAAGGGTGGTTCTGTGTCCCCAGTCAGGCTGCCACATTTTCATTTATATCTTTATTTGCTAACTTTCTGAATTGTAAGAATATTTCATCAGATAAACCCCACACACATACATATAAACAGTACACAGTATTGCACTGGGCACCAATTTAACACACTAGTGAAGTACACATGATCATAAGGCACTTTCGCGGTTTACAAAAGTGAATGCCTCAAAGTTAGATATTTACCAAAATGGAGAAATATCTTCATAAAAGTTTACAGGCGCTCTGAAAAACCAACGAGGTATGAATCGTTAGTGATCATGGCCAATGCCTTGAGAAATTTAGTGTCACTGAAGGACAGAGATGCAAGAGATCAAGTGTTGAAAATTACAGTTTTATACATCAGTATCAGAATTCTAAAAGCGGTCTTAAAAAAACCTATCAGTTCAAGATACGTTTGGTTTCTCAACCACAGAAGACTAGAGTAGGCAATAATTCCACACAGTACACTGCTTTTAAATTAGGTGATGGCACTATATAGTATTACAAAGAGCTTTAAAAGATAGGAATAATAAAGACTGAATTTTAAATCAAATGTGAAATAGTATTTTCTTCAAATCAAGAATTTTTAATTTCCAGATACAAATATCATTGCTCTAAATACTGTGAGCTTCCCTATGACTTAAAAATGAAAAGATTTGCAACCTACAATGTATCTTCTTGTCTAGGAAAGACAAAAAAGTTTAGCAGTTATAAAGCCAGAAAATTTTTCTACAGAGCATCTTGTTAAGTCGCTAAGTTGTCCAGGCTGGGCTAATAAAACTAGCAACCCTCCTGCCTCACCTTTTCAAGTGCTGGGATCATAGGCACATACCACCATGCCTGGCTGATAATCGATTTTTTTAAAATCTCATCTTTCCCCAAAATTGTGAAAGAGCCAAATCTTCTTTAAATCATGACTAGTAACAAGAGATCACTAATGAACTCAGAAATTCAGGACAGATAAAACTGTACTTTTTTCTCCATTCACAAAGTAAAAGAGTATGCACTTTAATTTTTTTTTTTTTAAATCGGTACCAGGATTGAACTCACGATTGCCTCCTTGCAAGGCAGGTGCTTATGCTGCTGAGCTAAATCCCCAGCCCCGTGCTCTTTAATTTTTAAAAAACCATTTCTATATTACATCATTTTAATAATTCATCGGTTATTTTTTACCTAAAAGTGAGATTTGAACACCATTTGCTGAAATCAAAGTTAAAAATGCAATTAGTTCAGTACATTCTCATTGTTGATATGGACGCTGCAATGTTTCCGGCTCCTTTCATTATTTACAGCTCAAATCTTTGCTGCATTTCATCTACAATCATCCCAGAAATTGCCAGGGAAGAAGTGGCAGCTGGGGAAGGTGCATTTCTCACATGAAGAATGCGATTTCCAATGTCCCCAACTCCTCCATCAAAAACGAAATCTTCTACTAGGTTTCCCTCTCTGTCCAGGGCTTGGGCTCTCACTCCAGCTGGACCTCTGCGAAAGCAAAACTAGGTTAGTCAACCAACTTGAAGAAATAGAACACATTACAAATCAGTGATTTGCTAAGTTTTCTTAAAGCAACACAATGTCAAAATCCAGCAAATTTATGCTTGCTGAAGGCAACCAGTGGTAGACTGGCAAACCTAAAGACTTAGCCTGGATTAGAGAATGATGTCTATGAGGTAACAGGGCAATAAATCTTTATCAAATAAATACATATGTGGGTAAGTTACTTACAAACATGTTTTTCCAAAAGTAGCAGATAAATTGACAGAACACATGTATAGCATTTAAAAAAATCTGTAAGTGAATTTGGTATAAAACACTAATCAATGAAAAAAAAAAAACACCAATCAAGGGCAACAAGAAGACTCTTCTTGCTAACACAAAGCAATAAAAACAGGAGTTAAGTGTTTCATTTGCATTTCTTACTTTTTTCCACTTTGTTTTGATTGAACACAATATTTATTCAGAGAGGTACTGCAGGATAAGAAGCTCTCATTTGGTAGTTTTTTAATAGTTTAACTTTCAATATCAAAAAATCAGGCATAATAGGAGAAGTGAGCAGTATAACACAGTGAAACTCTTCACTATCTAAATTCTGTTCTATAATATTTGAATTTACACACTAGATTTGTTATTTTTTTTAAATAGTTAAAATTTACAAATGACATTGATTCAGTGAGTGCAGTACCAGGGATTGAACCCAGGGCCTTGTGCCTGCTAGGCAAGTGCTGTACCACTGAGCTACATCCCCATCCGTGAAAACTAAGTTGAATGTTTTTAAAATCCAAAAGCACCTGTCTGCCTTGAAACTGTTGAAAGAAACTCCAGGGGTGGGGGGAGCTCATTCACAGATACACGGACAGACAGAGATCTAGATCTAAGCAAAATCTGGGTTCAGAAACTTGATTCTTTCCACAATTCTGTTTGCAAACCAAGAGGAACAAGAACTAAATCAAATTCAATGGTTAAATTCAATGCTGTCCTTACAGGGAAATTTGATTCTGTTCTCGTCCAGTTTGGTTTGCAACCAGTGTTGTGGAGAGAACTGAGTTTGTGAACTGAGGTACCACTGTATATAGACAGAAATATACAGATGTCTCACCAAGCTCAAAACATGAGGCAACAATGTGAAACACTTTTTAATGTTTCTGGGATAACTCAGATAAGTGATTGAGGAAGATACAAAGAACAAATTGAGAGCACTGTTCTCCAAGACCTCATGCTGGTTAAAGAGAGGTCATGATGTCATAGCTATTATTTACCAAGTGCTTACTATGTACTAGGAATTATCCCACTTATCCTCACAACAACTCTTAAAAGGCTGATACAGTTTATATTTAACAGCAAAGAAACACAGAGATTATCTTGCTTAGAGTCACAAAGCTACACTGTTCTTTACCAAGAAGTAAATAAGAAAAACAAGAGGTGGGAAAAATTGTAGTAAAGCCATCTGCCCTGTAGACTCTTGGTGAGAGTCTGAACAGGATATTTTTGAGCTAGAAGAATTTCCAAGGAAGAACCTGGAACATCTTGTGGAATACAAAAAGAACAGCATCGGCAGTTGGTATTATGTAGGGCAAGCATGTGAATCAGCACCACCACCCTTGTGGGGACCATTCTCACATTATTTACTGCTTATCTTCACTCATCAAAGCAGCATGTCCACCTTTTTAAAAATGCTGTCATTGCAGGTATCTCTGTGTTTCAGTTTTCTTGGCCCTTTCCTTGCATCTGGCACATACAGCTGCGTGAGCAGCCTCTAAAGTTCAGTGTTCAATGTAAAATGACCTTGCTGTCCAGAGGTTTAATTGGTATATTCCTCTTGCTCCATCCAAACATACAGAATACCAATTAACCACAATTAAAAATTGTGTCTACACTTACTTCTATTAAGAAATTATATCCTGAATGTCACCTACACTTTTTTTGTTTTTTTTTTGTTTTTGTTTTTGTTTTTTGTGTGATATTGGGAATTAAACACAGGGTTTTTTCACTGAGCTACATGGCTCACTTTTTTTTTTGTACCAGGAATCCAACTCATAACGTGGTGCTTGCTAGGCAGGCACTTGTGCCACTGAGCTAAATCCCCAGCCTTCCAACTCTTATTTTTTTGAGACAAGACTTTGCTAAGTTGCAAGGCTGCCCAGGCAAAGCTAGAACTTGTGACCCTTCTATCTCAGCCTCCCAGAGTGCTAGGGATTACAGGCCTGGTCACCAGACCTGGCTTTTCTTAAGATCTGAATTTAGTTCAAATCAATGTGAAATGTCTAAACTGTCAAATTCATGGTACTGTATTCCATTTTCAGTATGGAAGGCAACTTCATGGTTCTTAGAAAAAATATGTTTAAACACTTCTCCTCTCAGCACTGCGTCTTGAGCTAAGTATTACAAAGTTTCAGATAAGCTATAAATCCTTTGAGGACCAGGGCCCCATCTCCCTGTAACACTCCAGCTCATCTCTTTGACTAGATTTTTTTCCTGCAGGTATTCAATAATGCTAGAAACTTTAACATTTCTACTTCGATTTTCTTTTTTTTCCCTAGTACTAGGAATCAAAATCAGGGCCTTGTACTTGCCAGGCAGGGGCTGTGCCACTGAGCTACATCTCCAGCCCGACGTTTAAATTTTTAATTCTTTTAACTATTTTAACAACTGAAAGAACAAATGACTCAGCAAATTAAATTCTGTGCACTCAGCTAAATTTAATGTAACGATCATTTATAGCTGTATATTTTGCTACATTTATAGGTAAATTTAATGAGAAAGTACATCCTAGATACATAAAGATGGCCATAAACAACAGGTAAATGTGATTAACTTCACTCATTGGTCCCGTGTGGCATTCACATCACGCAGCAGTGCATCATCACACTGTGAACCGGGAGATGGCTCTGAAAGGTTATACCTGATGTCTCTGGCTAGTCTCAAATAGGATAACCTACTATTTTATAAAGCTCTTGACGGAATCTACTGCTATCTTAAAAATACAATTCTGGGTAAGCACATTTAAATTGGAACTGGTGGAATGGGGAAATAAACAATTCCCACCTAATTTCCAGACATGAAGGAGTAGGCTATAATTAATCTTTATCCTAACTGAACTAAGTAAGAATATGATTTTTCCACGTGCTGGTGTAGATTATTACTAATCTTTATCATAACTGGACTATGAATATGGTTTCTCTATGCCCAATTTTTCTTCTAAAAAAGTTCACCGCCCAGCCTTCTATGCTCAATTTTTGAATTTTGTTAAGAACCTGGTTTTTAAGGCTGGGGATTTAGCTCAGTGGCATAAGCACCTGCCTGGCAAGCATGAGGCTGTGAGCTTGATCCCTGGTAAAAAGAACCTGGTTTTTGGTTTAGAACATTTTGAGCTTTTGTAAATGTTCTGTGAAGGCTTGAATTAATACAAGTATTCTATAATGAGGGAGAGGATCTGTGAGTGTTTTATTCAAATCTCCTTGTATTTCATATGTCTAATTTATCTTTTATCAATCAATGTCTTAAAAGCATGCGGCACAATTGTTGATTTCTGCTTGAAATTATGGCAACTTTTCCCTCTGTATTTCACAGCTATGATTTTATATGCGGTAAGTTTATCTCTAATAATATTCCCTAATGCATTTAGTCTTTAATAGCCTTAACTTTTTATTCCTATTAACAATTTTTGTCTTAAATTAACTTAATCTGAAATAAACATACTACCTGTTTTTCAACAAATATTTTTCCTACTATATTACCTGTGTTTCTTAAAAATTCAATCTGATAATCTCTGCGAACTGAGTTAAACACATTGACATTATGATTATCAGTACATTTAATTTTTATATTAGTTTGATTACTTGATCTAATTTTTCTGAGGTTTCTATTTCCTCTTTCTAGTTTTTAAAAACCCTTTTCTACTAGTTTAAAAGTCTGTTTCCATTCTTGTTTTAGTTTTATTTACTTAATTATTTAGTAATATATTATTATATATCAATGTCTCTAAAACTGTGACAGATAAATTGGATTTTTTTTTCTTCTCCATATCTTTTAATTTCCACATGTATATTTTTACCTTGCAGTTTTTCTTTCTAACTCCTTTAGATTTTCTTCCAATCCATTAACTTTCTCTTACGTAGATCTAACCAGCTGTTTAACCTAATCATTTAAGGTTTAATTTTTTTTTTTTTTTTTGGTCTTTTTTCCTTTTTATTGGTACCGGGGATCGAACTCACGACTGCCTGCCTGCTTGCAAGGCAGGCGCTTATGCCGCTGAGCTAAATCCCCAGCCCCCAAGGTTTAAATTTCAAAAGCTCTCTTTTTCATGTCTAGAAGTTCTACTTCGCCTATTTCCAAATTTGCCTGGTATTTTTCTTACTCTTTTTTCATGATTTTATACCTTGCTTTTAATTCATTGAAGTACACCCATCTTATCATTACTATTATTCATAGCTGTCAGGAGTCTAATTCTACTATTTATTTCATCTGCTGACTCGCATGGTGACCTAAGTCTGACTGTGAGGTCCTGTGCACGCAGCGGGGCTTATCTGAGGGAAGGACAAGAGCTGAAGGGTATAACCCTCCCCCGGCTTTACATTTGCTTCTAATCAGGGCTCCTGAGAATGCTTTTATTTATGGGAAACTTTAAACATATAAGAAAATTAAAAAGAACAGTATGATGAACTCCCATGTATGAATTACCAGTATCTTTATGTACACTGAATGCTTCAACACACACACAATTTTACTTCATCTGTATCCCTCAATATCCCCCTTAACAATCACCTTTCTCTGCTGGATTATTTTAAAGCAAACCCTGAGAACTAACCATTTTATGTCAGTGTGTATTAAAGGGATTCTCAATAATAAACCAATAATTGCTTAGTATCAACAATGTACAATCTGCAACTGAATTATTCTAGGTTTTTGCTCTTTAATCTACTGAAAAAGAGGCAGTGGTAATTTATTGAAACAGAGAGACAGAGACAGATCTCAACCACAAGAGAAAGACAGAAAGAGTTGTTCATTAGTTTAAAGCAGGATTTGAACAAGCCTGGGTCCACTTTCTAAGTTAATTCTCAGCTAAGTTCTTGAACAAAGCGGGTGATATATATTCAAATTCCCAATCCCCACTCCAAGACCAAAATAGACAAAACTCCTTAATGCTTTTTGGTGCTAAGGGTATATTTTTTTTCTAGACTTTCTTTTTATTAAGAACGTGGTCCTTCAAGAGTTCCTGGCTTTACTCTGAGGTCTCAGTTTCAGCTTTCTACCTTATACAGACCCCAGGACTCCTTTCTAGCACTCAAGTGGCAATTAAACACAAGTATTCAATGCTCTATACCTTGTTTTGTGTGGTGGATATATTAATCATAAAATTGTTAAAAATTCACTGAGTACTTAAAGATCTACACATTTCACTGTATGTAAATCATATATCAATTAAAAATGTAACTAGGGGGCTGGGGATAAATCTCAGCAAGCATAAACACCTGTCTTGTAAGCAGGCGGTCATGAGTTCGATCCCCGGTACCGATAAAAAGAAAAAAGAAAAAAAAAATGTAACTCAAGACCCTCAGGTTTTCTTTCTTTCTTTCATTTCATTTTGTTGAGACAGCATCTCACCATGTAGTCCAGGCTGGCCTCAAACTGACAGCATCCTCCTGCCTCAGCCTCCCAAGTGCTGACATTATAGATGAGTGCCATCATGTCTGTAAATCCCTCAGTATCAAAATCAGCAAATCTTCCCTACCTCTCTAGGCCAGCATCAGGACCAATTCTTTTTAGGGAGGGTTTTTAATTCCTTCTTTGTATTTTTGTCCTGGGATTAACCCTTACTTTTCTGCATTTTCAGGTACATGCATTTTCAAGATGTTTTTTATATTTTCTCTCAGTATTTTGGAGTCTGCAGTTGATACCAGTGGTCTCACCAAGGGATGTTTTGCTCCCCTAGAGGACACTGGCAATGTCTGGAGACATTTTTGGTTGGCACAACCAGGGGGCTGAATAAAGTTCAGGGATGAACTATAATGAACTGGATGGCCCCTGGCAACAAAGAATTATTTGGGCCTGAATGTCAATCATACCAACTCTACTCTGTCTCCCCTTAAATCATCGCAACTTAACTGTAGAAACGTTTAGCATTTGTGTTTCGCAATGACATCATATAGTTATCATTCACAATGAAAAGTATCTTTCTTGAAATTTACTCCAGAATTCACCAATAAGACATTTTGCAAAATGACGTGTGGGAAAATGGGAGGATTGTGGTACATTTATATTTTCATCTTTACCATCCTTGCAGTGCTACTGGATACGAACTGCTTTTAGATTAATGTGTCAAAATTAAAGGACAAACTGAACAGATTAAAGAAGTGTAGAGCTAAAATTAAGAGCCTTAGAGATCATTTTAGAAAGATAAGTTGTACACCTAATGCACACGCTTGACAGGTAATAAGTTTTCTTTTAAATCTAATGTTCACTGTAAATGATGGCTGTAAATGCTCTGGCTTAGGCAATGAGGAGAAGACCCAGGTCCTTTAGTGGCTCCTGACACTGAGCATGCACACCACACTGGAAGTGAAACTCTTACGGCTTTTACTAAGACTGCTGGATCTGCTTCTGACACAATGCTAACAGGCCCTTCATGGCTTTAATACGCTGGACTGCAAGAAGAATAAGGCAAGGCCAGACTCAGGCTCTATGCTGTGGAAAAGCCTGCTGATCCTACTATTTAATAATTTAGGCACATAACAAGGTAGAGAGAATAATAACGTAATGGATAGTGTTTTTCTTACCAAACAGCTTAAGAATTGGCACATTAGAGATATGATAGGCGACCCCTATGGACTCTCAGGAGCATGTCCCTCCCCTCCTCAGAGATAGCTTCTCTCCTGAATTAAGTGCATCTCAGTCCCACGCTTCCTTTTATTTATACTTTACATGTGAATTCATAAACAATATATGGTACAATTATGCTTGTTTTTAAACTTCTATAAATAATATCAAATATATCCTCTTCTATTCCTTCTTATTGGTAATTTTCTGCATTTAATGCTACAGGAATCATAAGAAGAACCACCTGTAATTGCTGAATGTACCCAGCATCTCTGTCTTGAAAAAGGAACTCTTCTGTGATCGAGCTGAATCTGTCCCCAGATGCACCTGCCTACGGTGCCAATGAAGCTAGTAACAAATTCTTACACCCAGAGACAGAGGTCACTAACACCCATAGGGCTCCACAGTATGAAGGGCTTCTATGAAGCGGTAATGACTGACCATGGGTTTTAGATTCACTACAACCATTTCTTCATAGAATTCACTATGCTGTCCTGGTGTGTTTCTGAAGGAATATTAACAGCCAGTAACAGAAACCAGATCTGACCAGTCTGTTTTCAGATATAAAACAGCACAAGCCTGTAAAACCAAATTACTGAGAAAATAAAGCCTAGACATTTCTATCCCTCCCATTTCAGAAGGTGAGTAGAAGGGCAAAGGACATAGGGTAAAATATTAGCTGGTTTAATAGTTCTTCTAAGAATTTGAAGAGGCTGATCTCAGAATGATACATTAGAGTCAGATTTAGACCAGGATGATCCCCCAAGGGAGACAGCTGACGTGATTACTGCCCTCTTCCAGATACAGCCCAGCCTACTGACACTCTACACCAGCTAGATCAGCAGCTGTTACAGAGCAGCAGACAGTGCTCTGGAGAGTCGTGAAGGATGGATTGTAAGCACAGGGTGAGTACCTCAGAATACACTGCTGACCGGGCCTAACAAATGGCTTGTTCAGGGAAAAAGATGAAGACCTAAAAATATCAAAAGAGGCAAAATAAGAAGGTATTTAGAATTTATTATAACCTATTTAGAATAACCTATAGAATGAGCATTTAGAATAACCTATAGAATGAGTCTGGAAGGACTTATATCTAAGGAAAAGAATACACAGAGATATACAGACACACACACACACACACACACACACACACACACACACACACACAGAGGCATGCGATCACTTGTATTTTGCCCTGCACCGCTGTGGCAAGGACTTTAGTTACTACCACACTGCTTTCACTGCTGTCCTGCAAGTAGTCTCAGCAAGCGCTAGAGAAAGAACAAAAGGAGTAGAGAGGGGGCGAAAGGCGAGATGCCAGGTCTACAAGTGTGTTTCTAAAAGGTTTTAAGAACTGACCAAATACAAAGTTTCAATGTGTTAGTTAGTTACTTAACATGGTAATCGATTCTTTTATACAGAATGAAAGCCAAAAGGTTTCAGAATCATAAGGGCAAGTGTCTAGGAGACTTAAAAAATTTCAGGCAAGATGATTTTAGCATGCATGACAGCTCAACACAAAGCTAAGGTGGCACTGTAGGGAAGCTGGAATGGAGAGTTCAATTAGAGGTATAAAGCGATGTGGCTAATTGTAAGTGGCCCAGAAACAAAGGGCCATGGCATAGCAATGCCCACCCCATGCACTGCAAAAGGAATTTAATAATTTGTTAGGAAAGGAATAGCAAAGAGTCAGTGGACCAAGTATGCTTAGTGATCACCAACTTGGACATACCTCTCAGCTCCACCAAGGTCAGGAATGTATTTACAACCCTGATCAGTTTTTCTTACCTGAGCAGATCACTGGTAGTAATCTCAGGGATAAACTTTTGAAGGTGCTTCACTGTTGCACTAAGAAAACAGGCTTTATACATTTCATTAACTCCATAGGAGAAATTCTGGAAAATCAGTTTACTTAAGCCACTGAAAGCAAAGAAAAAAATTTATCAGAGAAAGAAATTCTTCATTAGTACAAAATACCTTTACAACTATTAGGTTCTTTTCTTTTTTGGTGGTATCACAGAAATCTAAGCCAGCGATTTAGCTCAGCAGCATAACCTGGCAAGCACAAGACTGTGAGTTCAATTCCCGGTACAAAAGAAAAAAAAAAATGTAGGCAAAGTCAGAAGCCCTACATATTAAAAGAAAATCAACTTTTGGTCAGTATAAAAGGAACTTCATCAACTGAAGAGATCAATACCCCTGAAATACAAATTTCCAAAGGGTGCTGACAAGAGCCGGGCTTGGTGGCTCATGCCTGTAATCCCAGCACTCGGGAGGCTGAGACAGGAGGATAGTTGCAAGTTCGAGTCCAGCCTGGGCTACAAAGTGAGCTCAAGGCCAGCCTGAACTGCATAGGGAGACCTTGTCTCAAAAAAAAAAAAAAAAAAAAAAAAAGCCAAAGGGTGCTGACAGCCTTGCTGCTGAATCCCTAAATTACCTAGGTGGGGCTCAAACTTGTGATCATCCATGCCTCAGGCTCTCAGAGTACTGAGGTTACATTAGCAGGTTAAATACTTCCTGATATTATTTCTTACATGAAGCCTCTGCATCTTAGACCAAAACAATAGTACTGTTTGTTTTCCACAAAAAGAAATGGGTTGGGTTATTGGCAGTTTCTCCAGTAGCTTACAAAGTAATGCGACTAACTTGAAATGCTCTCATCAAAACAAGCCATTTACTGATTTTGAAAAAATCTTTTCTTTTTCAAACTCAACTAGAAAGTTAGTGATATGATTTGGACTGCTGGGTGTATGAATGGCTCTTATTGGTCTTACTTTCTATTAACCAGGACATCACCCTGGCTCACCAGAATTTTCTTGAAGTAGTTGAAATATTATTCTTACACGAGGGGCTGTTGCTCCATGGAAGACCTCATGCTTGTTATACACAAGGCCCTGGGTTCACTCTCCAACACCAAGGAAACAAACAAAAGACTTCTCAATGGCAATCTGTTTGTTTTTTTTTTTTTTTTTTTTGTCTTTTTCCTTTTTATCGGTACCGGGGATCGAACTCACGACTGCCTGCTTGTAAGGCAGGTGCTTATGCCGCTGAGCTAAATCTCCAGCCCCCTCCATGGGAATCTTAATTTACGTTATTATAAACAATATACCAACCACAAATGTGGGGATTTATCCCCAAAATTTCCCACATTAATAATATAAGTACATCCTTGAAAAGAAAATTTTGTGCCAATATTGTTTGGATCATATACCATGCCTGTATCTTGTGTCCTGGTACTAGGAGGGTAGCAATATGCAATATATCAACTATTATAACTGTCCTGATAACCTGTTTTGAAATTTTTTCATTGCTATGTTTATCTTTTTCTTTAAAACAAACAAACAAAAAAAACACACACACAAAAGGTAGAGATGTTATGTCACAAAATTCTCATGCTCAAAACACAATAGAAGACAAGGTAAAAAAAAAAACCAACTGAATTATTTGTAATCTTCGTAGACACTGTTCTATATGTTATAGATCTGCTGTTTTTTTTCCAAATAATATGTATGAAATTATGATTGAAATTAATTGATTAAATGGATATTTGATTAATATAAATTATTTTTTAAAAATATATAAGCAAAGACACTATGGTAACTACTATTAAGTCAGGTTATAAGGTGGTGAAGTACTAGGTTGTTGAAACAGTCATGCTGTGACCTCTATTGTTATATTGTTATGTCCTGTTTTATCTCAATCTCCCCCTTACTGTTTCAAAAAAAATTATTTAGTCATTTCTTATGTTTGTCTTAAAGAAAAAATTCAAAAAAAAATTAGGATATATAAATAGTAACTCTTTTCGATTTCCTATTAACTTGTTTTGAAGTCCTGTAGTACTCCCACAATCTTGTTTTGACTGATTAGACTCTGTTCCATTCTATATGATAGTATCAAGTTTGAAGACATAGGCAACTACTTCGAAGACAATAAGATTCACTAAGATACCCATTCTGGTTTGACTATTGTCTTCTTTGGAAGTCCTGTAATGTTTACAATGCCTAAGTTTTATTGGTCTTGTTCTCTACTGTTTTGTCCAACTTTATAATATCTAATAAGATAGACAATTCTTTTTAAGGAAACAAGGGACAACGTTGATAACCATTGTTGATAAACTTGTACTCTGTTCTACACCATGTGCTGTCTATCCTTGGTATTGACTGACAGCTTTGTTTTGCCATATTTGACTGTATTCTTCCCCCCCCAAAGAAAGTAATAAGCACTAAGGAGTAATAAAATCCAAGATGTGTAAATTTTGTTGTAAAAAAGAGAGGGAAAAAAAAGAAAAGAAAAGAAAAAGAGCTCTAACGGATATAACAGCAAGTGTGTTTGGGGGTGTTAAATAGCTGACTTTATCAATGTTTTTGGAACATTGAACACAGCTGTTTGCAGTCTCCCTGTTTGAATGTCCACCTTGTGTTCTTTGATACTGTGATTTGAGGAATTATTTTCAAGAAAATAGTGTGTAATCTACTAGCAGGTAATTTCTTACTGTTATGTTTTTTTGTTTTGTTTTGGTTTTGTTTTGTTTTGTAGTTCTGTATTGCGTGTACCCTTACGCCGCTTTGGTTTGTTTTGTGTTTTTCTCTTTTTCCTCTTAAATTAAAAAAAAAAATATATATATATATATATATATATATATAAGCACATTTTCTTTTTTTTTTTTTTTGAGATGGAGTCTCAGCTCGCTCAGTCTGGCCTTGAACCTTTGATCCCCCTTCTGCAGGTTCCCTGGCAGTTGGAATCACAGAAGGGCGCCATTGCACCTAATGTAAAAGAATTCTTCCAAGGCAAGTTGTTACCTGTTGATAATTACATCCATAGCATCTCTGGCACTGAAGTCAAAGGGGCTGTAACCTTCCCGTTTAAAGGCAAGTACTGCGTTAGGCCCCAGCCAAACACTGCCATCCATCCTCGGCGTGAAATGAACTCCTAGGAAAGGAAAGCGGCTGTCTGGGACCTGTAGATTCAACACAGCAAAGAAACATTACAGCCATTTCACGTTCTACTTTAGTTCAGAAACGAATATCCAATTTGTGATAGAAAACACTTCCTTGTATGCATTTCATCTATACTTGAGCTGTACTCAGATGTTTTCCTATTAACATGTTTCTGCTCAGAAATGCCACCAAAGAAACCCTGATGCTACTGACATGACAGCACAGGACCCTATCTCTTCATCTCTCTGGAGAAGGAGCGGGGAGTGAGCTCTCTAGTTCAGGTTATCACCTCTCTTCCCTACGACCAGGCATGTCTGTGACTGCCCAGTAAAATCAGGACTGCCAGGACAAAAAAAAAGCCAGATTCATGGCACAGGCTTTGATACAGTGGGACTGTCTGGGGTTGAAGCAGTTGACTTTGGTGTTTTGGCAAAGTCAAAAACATCAAATAGTTAAATGTTAGCTGAATCAGTTTCAACCTGTTAGCTGAATGGTTCAACCTAATACAGTTGAAGGAATTCGTTCATTTCCAGGATGGTTTCAGACAGAAGAATGATATTTTCATTTAAATGCCTCAACCTTCTACGCGGTGGATCTAGAGTGGCCACATCCTTTCCCTGGGAAGTGGGAAAGAAGGCTGGGTACCCGGGATTTGCGTCAGGGAAAGCTCCCTTGTGGCTGCTCCGTCTGCCAGGGAGAAGGAAGAATTCGCTTCTCTCTTGCTAGCACTTCCCACAATGCACTCGTGATTTCTGGAGATGGGACTCGTGTGCAATTAATTCTAATTTAAAGGCCAGGATATTGGTCTACAGATTTAGGAATTTAACCACATAAACGGTCCTCTAGATCCTACCCGCTTTGGTGGCACTAGGAACCCAGAGCCTTGCATATGTCATACTGTGCAAACAATTTATCACTAAGCTATGTGTACATCTCTGTTCCTTAAACTTTTACTTACATCTTCCTCCCTCAGCCTTCTGCATAGCTGGGATTATAAGCGAGTCGCTCCTCTCTTACTTTGGATGCCTGCATTTCATTTATGTGTACAACCAGCTTAAGAAGACGAGAAGGCAGAAACATTATTACCTACCGGGTAAATATTTCCTTTTACGAGATAGCTTTTTTCTGGCTTCAAAAGCAGGTAATCTCCCCGGAATGGTACAATTCGAGGATCAGGACTACAGCCACTCAGCTCTGAAATACGGTCTGAGTAAAGTCCTGCACATGTCACAACATACTGACATCGAATTTCCTCACTCTGGTGCAAATAAAAGAACGTGATTAGCTTCCATGTATAAAAAAGAACAAGTGGTATTTTTCTCTGTGTGTGTGTGAGCTAAAAAAATTGACCTGAACATATAATATTAATTAATAGGTTGAGAAGTAGTAGGAAAGTTGAATGTCATCAGTTTATGCTGTATGTGTAGAAATATCACATTGAAACCCATTGATATGTACAACTAATATATACTAATCAAAAAATAATTATTTTTTTTAAAAAGCATGATTTATATAGATAGAAGTGGAAAAGTCAAGAGGGAAAAACAGATGATAGAAGAAAAACTAGGGGTACAAAAGTAGACTTTTCCTGAAAAAGGAAATTCAATGTACATATCAGCAAAATAAGTTCTTACTTACACACACTTATTTAATAGCACCTAGCAAGGAACTTCTTAACTATTTGTTACAGGAAACAGTAAACCTTCTTTAGATGACCTCTGCCGAATGGGCCTCTTTTCAATTTCAAACCTTTTCTTCCATCTTAGCTGAGTACTAATCCTGTTATGATTGGGTTATTTCACACTCAATAATCCTACTCAATTCCAACAGTAACCTACCCATCGACCAGTTTCTCCTTCCTGCTCAATTTATACTTTGCCAATTGAGGCTACTTTAGAAACCTCATTCACTCAATGCATGTTTACTGAGAGCACATATTACAACCAAAGTACGCTTTCATTAAAGCATTAGGAGAATACTTACCTTAAATTATTATGATTTTCCACAAACGTTATTCCATGATTATCTGCATATTTCTAGCCTTAGTTCATCCTGCCAGATTTAGCCAACTTACCACCCTATTTCCTAAATGACATCATTCAACCTCAATTCATCACTTGACACTAATTATCATCTTTTTTCCCTGCCCTCTCTTCCCCTCTCTGCTTCTTCTCTTCGATGGGATTTCACTACACTACCCAGCTGTCCTGAACTTCTGAGCTCAAGCAGGCCTCCCACTTCAGCTTCCCAAGTAACTAGAACACCGGGTGTACACCATCACCTCCAGATCTACTTAAAAAGAACTAGCAACTTCTTGCTCTGGTAACTTTATCTTCTTATTCCCAAGCAACCTATTTCTGAAGTTTTGGAGTTTTCATCCATCTCAACTCTCTGTCTGTCTTTCTTTTTCTTTTCTATCTCTCACCGACTCAGTCTTATTCCATCGAACTATATTTTCTATTCTATATGCATCCTATTTTTTGCCATAAATGTAAACCTCTTTTTAAGTTATATAAGTCACATTTTTTAGAAAACTCGGATTAAATTTCTCTGTTGTAAATTTGAGTTAGCGAGGCTAATTCATGATACTTGGAAGACCCTTGAAGTCAAGAGGGCTATGACAATGACAATAAAAACTTCTTCCTTTTAAATAGGTTAATATCTTTCCTGTTCATCTATAATTATGTACCAGAAGTACAAGAAATACTTTTAAGTGATATATATCTACAAGTTCCTATTTAAAAAGATTAGCAATTCTTTTGTTCTTGGAACACAAAATGTAGATAAGCCTTATAATAAATGTATAGATAACAACAAAATTTATAGAATGGTACCAGCATGTAATAGTTCTCTTTAAAAACAACCCAACAGTTTCAAAGAAAAACATGATTAACAATGGTCACATATTTCCGAAATCATGTGTTTTGCATGAAACAATCATTAAATTCAGTAACACACTAATTCACTTCCAAACTGAAATTTAGGTCAGCAAGGAATGATACCTTTGCTCAATTATAAATTTCCTTTAAAAACAAACTATCCATCTCTATTCCTCTTTCATAAATAAGATATTTCCCCATGTCTAATGCATAAATCTTTAATATGCAAATCCTCCTTTATTTTTAAAATTCCTCTCTTTTAACCTCTCATAAAGCACAAAAGTTCAATCTAATATGTGGATGCAAAATTTGAATCTGAATCTTAAACACTACACTAAAGGAAAATGCCAAGAAAAACTAGTCTATTCCAGTACCTCTAGATAGAACACAGCCACTAGTGCTGCATAGGCCCCTGCACCTCTTCTATCACGAGATGCCACTCGAGTAACAATCTCCCACAGTGAGGGCAGGCACAGAATCAGGTTCCTAATCCTTCTCTAAGTGGACACCCTGAGTACTCTGCTGCTTGCCCACCTGACCTAGGGTCTGCTGGTGACCGCAGTGTTTGTTTTGATATTTTACACAGGCTTTAGGAGGCCCTCATAGGCAAATCACAACACAGAACCTAGGACTTTAAAGGAAATGCTAATAGCATCCTCTGTAGATAATAATCTTCCTTTTGAGAAAGTGCTCCTGGCTTTGACTAAACATTTGACCACAGGTCACCCAGTTACTATGTGAACTACTCGTTATTAACTGGGTGCTGTCTGATTCACCAAGCCACAAAACTGGGTGTGTACAACAGCACTCCGTCATCAAAAGGAAGTCTAATACATGCGATCGGGGTTTTACAGGTCCTGCAGGCACATATAAGTTACAGGGCAGAGGCGAGTGGTTCATGATGTCTGCTCCTTCAAAAGTACATTGTTCTTCTCAGCTTGTACCTACGGGCCCACAGAGAGTTTTCCATGACCAGCTGGCCTGGGGACCTGGTTTACAAATGGTTCTGTACAACATCCTAGGCCACTGCAAAGCGAACAGCTCCAGCTCCAGATACTCATTCGGGCACAGCCTTGAAGAGCTGTGGTGAGGGAAATTTTCCCAGGAGGCAGACCTTTGAACATCACAGCTGGTTTATGTGACCCAGAAGGATAGATGGCCAGAGGTACGGATGACAATGCTTCACAGGTGATATTGTAAAGACAGTGAAAGGATCAATCTAGAAGGCTGGGAGGGTAAAGACACTTGAAGTCAACGTGAATACTCACTAAGCTGAAGAAGATTTTAATAATCAGTCAAAATAAGACAACCTGCCCTTGTAGGTGTAAATTAGCCTCTTTCTTCAGGTCCCCTGCCCTAAAGTTCTGTTTTCAGCTACCTTGTTTGTGGTGTTTGGTGATGGTAGTCCAAGAAGACTTAATACACCCACCATCTCCCTTCTCCCATTACCTAACACAGGGTTTTCTCAACCTCGCTGCTGCTGACATTTGTGGCTGGGGGCCTCTCCTTGGGCCTGTACCCATGAAATGTCATTAGCCTTGCTCCACCCTCATTATGATAACCAAAAATGTCTCTGGACATTGCCAAATGTCTCTTGGGGAGCAAGATCACTTCCGACTGAGACCTACTGACCTCACCTAAGACACTTAAATAGTGGCCGCACGTACATCTCGGTACAGTCTTACCTTGCTGGGTACTGCTTTGAAACTCATCGAATTTGATACTGATGCATTTTTACATGAAACTAAGTGTCTCTGCACACAGTTGTTCGGTTGTTCGTTTAGTACTCAGTGGCAAGCCAGAACTTGCCAGTGTTAACTGCATCATGCTACCTTTTCCAGTCAAAACCACTTTTCTGGTACTTGTCAACTTACTGAACACAGTTAATGATGAGGCGCAAGACACTACTGTATCTGAGTTACAGGACTCAAAGGGGAGCGTGTAACTCAGAATAAACACCCCCCAAGACAACACAGTGCATCTTGTGTCTCTTTTGGAGATGGTATTTTTTTGGTTCCATGAGGCATAGTTATACCCTTTAGGTACAAGCACAATTTTACTATTGCCTTTATTTGGATGCTAAATATGGTTATAAGGGGCATATATGGGTGCCATGTTTCTGGGGAGGACTAGAAGGGTTTGTACTGTGTTGATCTGGTTAAGCCAGGGCCATGCTCGACAGATTCCTCTTCTCTTTTATGTTTCCGACTTAAAGCTGCCAAAGACAGGCCCTGCATTTGACTTGGCAGGCAGAATTAAAGCTGCAGTTGTTATTTTCTGAAGGTTGTCCCATGTGGTGACAGACACCCACTACCCAGCAAATCCAGCCTCATATCCAGTTCTGTGCCCAGTTACTGTTCATAGTGATCAAGAGCAGACCCAGCCCCTGCAGAGGTGTTTATGCAGAGGCAAGGGCCCCCCACAGATCTCCTCAGGAGCTTCCTGGCTGCAGCACCACCACCCCCCAGCAGCCAGTCACCTGCTTCTCAGACTCCAGGCTGGAAATCTCTAAGCAATCAACTCCCCTTCAAAACCTCTGCATCCCCAGCCCCTCTCACTGGTTTGTGCAGCTAATTCGGCCAGTATATTCTGCAACCCACAAAAGGGATCCATTCTCCTGATGAGTCCCGAGGATACAGGGAACCCAGTGCTCCACCCCATTCTTGGTTCCTGCTTTGATCATACCAAGCTGAGGGAAAACCTCCCCCTGCACAGGCTTCAAATTGCTGGAGAGTTGGCAGAATGATAAAATATCTATGTTTTGCCTTAAAAATAAAACACTCAAGATGGCCTTAAGGTAGTATTCTTTGCTAGCACTGCCACTTCAAGAAGATTTCCCAAGCTGAAACTTTTCTTAAAATGAAGGCTGTTAATCTGCTCTAAAAGAATTTCTCTTGGAATTATTTTTACATTAGGGAAATTTCATTCAGTAACTTAAAAGAGAGTCATGTAGGTTAATTCAACATTTTTTTTAAAGGAAGGCATGAAAACAGACAAGTTTTGTTTAAGATTCTTTACCTTTGTATTCTTTATCACAATTGGATATTTCATCCCTGAAAAAAAAAAATAAAAAGAATCAGTGATTTTTTTTTTTTAGTAAAAGCAGGTTACCATTATTTCACAAATTTAAATGACTACTAACAAATTTCATAACAAATGTAACTGACTTTCTTCTGTCATAATTGGACCCAGTTTTTTATTCTAAAGAGTTTTTTTTTACCAAGTAATAAGATTAAATTAGTTCATACTTGACAACATATAAAACTGACAAGTTCTTAGCTTGTCTCAAGTTGTTTGACCTATGCTTACAAACCATTCCCACCTCAGCTCCAACACAGACAGCCCAGTCTGCACTGAGCACTGCACAGTAGGCATCATAACTCAGCATGACTCTTCCCACAGAGATGAAGCTACAGTACCAAAGACTGTTATGCAAATGTTGGTCACCAGGTTCCTTGCAGGGTCTGGGCTGTTTAGAGAAGCAAGTTATCATAACACAAAAATTCCAACAATAAACTGGCCATTTTTAAAATTCATTCCCACTCAGCTATGTGGGATCCTAAGATCTTAAAAAGCTTATATATAGAAAATTAAGAGGCCAATCTACCTACATAATGAATTAGATTCATTATACTACCTCCCTATAACAATTTTATTTAAATTTTTTTTTTTTTTATTGGTACCAGGGATCGAACTCACAACTGCCTGCTTGCAAGACAGGTGCTTATGCCACTGAGCTAAATTCCCAGCCCTTATTTAAAAATTTTGTTTCATCATCCTAGAATTGTAAAGGATACTGGCTGAATAATTCAGATGCCTGAGATGTTTTTAAAATCTATCAAGGTGAAAAGGACTCAGTGTTATATTTTATTCCTCTGAATTTTCCAAAAGCAAAAGAAAGTTTACAAGTCTTTCATTTGATTAAAAGAAAAAAGAAATGTCCTCAAAAGTAAAACAAAACAAACTCTAAGAACAGTAAGATGAAATGGAATATATAAATAAAATGAGATGGAAGCCAAGTGTGATGGCACACACCTGTAATCCCAGCACTCTGGGAGGCTGAGGCAGGAGAATTCAAGCCTCACCTGGGTAACTTAGTGACTCAGACTTTGTCTCAAGATAAAACAGCTGGCGCCTGCCTGGCAAGCACGAGGTCATGAGTTCAATCCCCGGTACCAAAAAAAACAGATGGTGGTGTAAAGGCAAGGGATCACTTCCTAGTACTGCAAGTAAATAAGTAAGTAAGTAAATAAGGGGGAGAAGAAGGAGCTTTAGAATGTCCGAGTCTTTTCTCTGGCTGGGGGCTGCCATTCTGAAACTTGTTAAGGTATTCAAAAATCACATACTGCCACTGTTCCTAAGCCTGTATCGCAAGTCAGGTTCGTTAAGTTATGAGGATGCTAACATCTGTATTTTAAATAAGCACCACTGAGGGACTCCTCCTCTTACCTGTGTGGTGGGGGAGACGGGGGAGTAACCATAAATAAACTTCCTTGGCAGCTCTGATTTGAGCACCAGCCAGACTGTCTCACTGGTGCTTTCTGCAGTTCTGGTTCCCCTGCGCCCACCCTCTGGCTTGCACCCTCCTCCAGGTGGTCCTCCTACCACACCACCCCAGACAAAAACACTCCCAAGCTTCACTAAAAGTCAATTCAGATTTTCAACAGGAAAGACGAGGGTGGCTTACCATCTTCACTTCTGGAAGGACTTTCTTTAGCCATTTTAATATCTTTTACTTCAAAATCAGTGACAACAGAGCCACCTGCTTCTTGGAAATCATGGGCAAATGACAAAGCTATCTGCCGATAATCCACGATGCCAGTGTATGGACAATCAATAGCCATTAGACCCTGGGATAGAATTATGAAAAAAGCCAAACAATATAACCAATAACCAATGAGATTTGTTCAAAATTTTATTTGGGGCTGAACTTAATTTACTTTTTTATTTTGATGAACAACACACATTATTTCTGATTGGCAAAAACTGGTATGTCTTTTTTATTTTCCCTTTCTTCTGAGACAGGCTCTTGCAATATAGGATACCCAGGCTGACCTGGAAGTTGTTATACAGTTTAGGCTGCTCTCAAACTCAAGATCTCCCTGCCTCAGTCTCCTGAGTTTTGAGATACATGCTTATGCTACTGTGCCTGGTTGACACAGTGCCGTGTTGTTGTTGTTTTGAGACAGGGTCTTGCTATGTGGTTCAGGCTGGCCTTGGGTTTACTTTGTAGCCCAGGCTGGTTTCGAACTTGCAATGACCCTCCTACCTCAGCCTAGGGTTGACAGTCTTAAAGGAGAAAAAAACCATAAAAACTGGCTACCTAAGTTTGATGAGTACTACATCCATGTCTAACAGGAAAAAAAAAAAATAATAATGCTTGGCTATTAAAAAAAAAAACCTCCTATAATCAGAAAACAATTTTCCTCCTTAGTGGAATTAATTTTGCTGTTCTGAATCACCACCACCCCCTCTGGACACACGCCCTCTAGCAGGTCTTCTTTTCTCTTTCTAGCTTTGCTCCTTCTTGTACAAAGCTGGCGTCTCCTACCCTTGTGTACGTGCGCTGGGGAAATGCAGCCCAATGCCCTGGTTGGCTGGGCAGCAGGGCAGAGGTGGCCACATGGCGATGAGGCTGGAGCACAGGGTGCTGTGCCTGTCAGCCAGGAGGTGGGGCACTGAGCGGTCAGCAGGCTGCAGCTTGAAATCTGAGGCCACAGCAGGTCAGGGGGAAAGATGCAGGCAGGCCAGGAAAGGTGAGAGTAAAATCCAGCCAGCAGTCAGGAATAAACAAGTGTGTGCCTGACCAATAAAGTTAAAAGAAAAGGTGAAACCATCCAAGAACTGAGGTCAGAGGTAGCAGTTAAGATCTGCACAGAGAGAGCTGTGAAGAGTTAGCAAAGTTTACAGAGGCAGTTAAAAGTTGTTCAAGGTTCTTCCCTGGGGAGTATTTAGTCTTCTTCTTAAAGGGACAAGTCCAAGAAGTCCTTTAGAGCTGCCCTGATAAAGTTCTTTCTTCTAGATGTTTGTTCCAAGAGCATTAGAAGGAATTCCTTGCGCCATAGAAATTCTGCCCAACATTCAAGTAGAGGAGAGGCTGGGAGAAAGGGACACCTTTCTGAAATAGTCAAATTAGGCTAGGGATTTAGCTCAGTGGTATAAGTGCCTGCCTGGCAAGCATGAGGTCATGAGTTCGATCCCTGGTACAAAAAAGAAAAAAAAAAAAATTAAGAGTCTAAATAACCGAATTATATTTTCTACTTTGCACTCCCACGCCTTCATGATTACAAGCTGCCATTATCCGCAGGCCTCGCTTCTGCAGGACCCTCAGATGGATGCAGGAACCATCTCTTTCTTAACTTATAAAATTGTAGTGTTTGGCACATAGTAAACAGGAAAATTTTCTTTAAACAGAAAAAAAACAAAACAAAAACCCAAGAAGATGTGTTCTGAGTCAGTTCTTGCAGCGGGACACTCTTCACAAGTGCTGTGACCATGGGAAAGTAACAGCTAGTTTCTTCATTTGTGAGACCCAAAAAGAAAAGGCGTGAGCATGCAATTTATTACACACACACACACACACATATTCCATCTATTCACTCCCAGAACCTAGCAAGACCACATGTCAAGTGCAGAAAACAATACCTAACCTAGGTGAGTGCTTATTATATGTGGAAAGTTTTATTTAAACAGTAAAGCCTGATATAAAGAATTATGTGTTCCAGGTCCTTTTTCCCCCTTTCTTTAAAGCTCTTTACAAGGATCTGTAACACAACAATTGGATATGATCTTGTAAGTCCCCCGAATTTCAGGACCACCAGGGAACCAGAAATATTGTTTTTTAAATTCCAAAACTAAATTACTTTTTACATCACAATCAAATCTATAGTGGAGTCAGCTCATATATCCTTTTTCCCTTTTTTACACCAATGATTCCATTTTAAAGATCTTTTATTAGCAAATAAAAGTTTAAAAACCATAAAAAACGGACACTTTTTTTTAAGGTTATAAAATTATTTTATTCTCAAAAGTAATTTTTTGAAAAGAAAAGAAAGTGCTCTAAAGGTTATAACTGCATATATGTTTAAGTGTATAAGATAGATAACCATATTACTGTTTTTTGGATCATTGAACAAAACTTTGCACTTTCACTGTTTGAAAGTCCATTTTATATGCTTCAATTTTGTAACTTGAACAACTATTTTTAAGATGAGAATATGTAATCTAAAAAATAATAATAATAATTTTTTTAAAGTGGCTTTTATTTATTTATTTATTTATTTATTTTTTGTGGCACCGGGGATCGAACTCACGACCTTGCACTTGCCAGGCAGGTACTTATGCCACTGAGCTAAATGCCCAGCCCAAAAGTAGTATTTGATAGAAACATGTCAGTGATGTTCTGACACCTTCGTTTCATGTTTAAATTCCGCCAGAATCACACAATGAGACAGCAACAAGTTAATGCAGTTCCAGGAAGCACTTGTTCAACTAAAATGTGAAGGAAGCCATGGTTTTGGACTGACTTCCTGTACTAAAGCCTCACCACCTCAAGCCAACATGGAGTTACTCATGCTGAAGTTCCACGGTCACCAGATTAAGCTGTTTATTTGACCTTCCAAGAAAGGAGGAGAAACAGGTGACAGCCAAAATCCCAAACAGGCCAGTGTTAGCCAACATTCTAAGAAAGTTACCCAAATTCTAACCCTACAGGAAAGTAATTTTGAAACAACAATTCTGCTTTTTGTTCCTTATTTTGTTTTCCTAAGTACCTAACTGTCTAAAAAGCCAACCTCCCCTGCTCAGCTAAGCAGGGCTTCTTGTATTGGAGCTACAGTAACAAAGACATTAAGGAAGCAGAACAAGAGACAAGCGGTCAGGATGGAGTCCATACACAGCCATGTGACTTCGCAAAAGAATGTTACAATACAGTGGAGAATAAATGATGCTGGGTCAACTGGATGTTCGTTGGAGGAAATAAAATGTACCTTGACCTTCATACCATATATAAAAATTAATTCCACTGGGGCTATAGATATAAATGTGAAAGATAAAACAATAAATTTTTTAGAAAAATACATACACAATTTCTATCTTCCAGACCTGGGACTAGGCAAAGGTTTCTCAAACAGAAAACAAAAATCACTAAACATAGTGAGATGCATGAATTGCTAAACTGACTACACTGATAATTAGCACTTCTGTTCACCTAAAGACACTATTAAAGTGAAAAGACAAGATACAGAGAAGTGAAAAATATCTGCAATACCTATATATATATATATATATATCACAAACACACATATTTTACCAAAAAATTCATCTAAATTATAGTATATAGTGAGCCTCTAATAGTAATAAGAATTAATAATTGTAAGAAAGACAGTAAGCCCAATTGGAAAATAGGAAAAAAACAGGTACTCCATAAATGAAAATACCCAAATCGTCAATATTAGCGTATGACAGGTATATAACTTTGAGCCACTGGGTAAATACACGTTAAAAGCATAACATAACACCACAAGTTGAGATACAGGAAGCTCAAGTGGTAAAGCCTGCACAAATATTTCAAAATCTTAAAACTCTGAAATCTGAAACACTTCTGATCTTGTCCATTTTATATCAGGGACACTCAGACTGTATCACACACCCACCAGAATGCCGAAAATGAAAACGAACACTGAGTGGTAGTGAGGCCAGGGAGCACCTGGACCTCTGCACAGTGCTGAGGAGAGCATCCACTGGAACACAAACTTTAGAAATACCCACATGGAAGAATGGTGAGCTAGCTTCGTTTCTTTCCCAGGTATCCACCTGACAGAAACACAAACATGTATTCACTAAAACACGGGAGAGGTCACAGAAGTCCCATTTGGTATGGCTCCAAATTGAAAACTGTTGTAATCCCCATCCACAGCAGAACAGATCACACCATGGTCACATAGCAGTCAGCAACAGATACACAGCAATGGCAATGAGCTACAACCACCTGCAACAGTGTGGACGCCTTTTATAAGACTGAATGCAAAAGGCATACAAAAGCACACTCTATATGAGTCTACAAACATAAATTCAATAACCCACGCGGTAAGGAGTCAGGCTTTTGGTTACCATTCAGGGCAACATACTCCTGGAGGGGAGGAGGGGAGTCCTCCAAGGCTGGTAATCATCTCTCTCTCTCTCTCTTTTTTATTTTTTATTTTTTTTTGGTACTGGAGATCAAACTCATTGACCTTGTACTCACCAGGCAGGTGCTTGTGCCACTGAGCTAAATCCCCAGCCCTTCATCTAATTTTTTATCTCAATGCTGATCACACTTTGTACAAATTCATGAAGCCATAGTCATCTTCTTTTTTTTTTTTTTTTTTTTTTGTGATACCAGGGATTGAACTCACGAACTTGCACTTGCCAGGCAGGCACTTATACCGCTGAGCTAAATCCCTGACCCAAATCTATAGTCTTACAATCTGTTGTATGACATGGTCCCAAAAAATTAGGGGACACAAAAAATGAGGGTACAAAGATGAAGAGGAAAGTTAGTACACAAAAATAAAAATGCATGCTTAGAGTTCTAGATATTTGGCAGGATGGGACACAAATGTGTCTCTGAGCTTCCTTGTAGCCAATGCAAAGAGATCAATGCAATCAGTTAAATGATTTAGTGCCCATAAAATAAAAATAAAAGTAAGCAAACTGCTCAGGAGGAACAAAACTATTCTCAGAACAGCTGTGAGCAATTTCTCCTGAGAGTTCTCAGACAAGATGTTGTGTAACAACATTGCAGAAGCCACAGTGAATGACACCATGATCTTCCCCACAGGCTGACGCTGTGAAACCAAAGGATAATCCAACTACAGGATGGAGGGCAGGGAGCAGGATATGGGGAAGCAAAACACTGCAATGTGGAGGTGCCCCTCCGACGGTCTTAATGGAGGTAGCAGAATAAGTCGTTTACACCCCCACTAAGGTTCCTCCCAGAACTAGTATTTCTCAAATCCAAGTTTTATTTCGCTTTGTTTTCAGTGCTGGGGATTGAACCCAGTGCCCTGAACATACTAAGCAAGTGCTATACCACTACTTATACCTCTAACCCTTCTTTAAAATTTTATTTTGAGACAGGGTCTTGCTACAGATGCCCAGGCTGATGAGTCTCCTTTCTTGGCCTGCCGAGTGGCTAGGATTACAGGCATATGTTGCTGGCACCGAGGAAATTAAGCTTTTGATAAGCACTGTCTGGTGATGAGTTCAAGGTCATGCTTCCTTCGTTGTTGTTGTTGTTGTTGTTTTTGACACAGGGTCTGGATATGTAGTTCAGGCTAGTCTTCAACTTGTTTTTTTTTTTTTGTCTTTTTCATTTTTATCAGTACCGGGGATTGAACTCACGACCGCCTGCTTGCAAGGCAGGTGCTTATGCTGCTGAGCTAGATCCCCAGCCCCTAGCCTTCAACTTGTAGCAGTCCTCCTGCCTCAGCCTCTCAAGTGTTGGGATTACAGGTGTGCACCACCATACCCAGAGCAAGGTATCTCGAGTCCATCTCTTGTATACAGTCAATAAAATGATGGAAGAAGGAGTGCAGGAAATACAGCCATTTGTTAGAGCAGTCATTGGAATGGTCTCTGAACAATTACCAATGAACACTGACATGCAGAGTAACTACGGCCACTTCTTGTCCAGTGACCAAATTATGTTCCTGCCATTAGGTCATTCAGTAAATTGGTTGCTAAATCAGGAATTGCATATAGTGTGTATAGTACTATATACAAGACAAAGAAATGGTCAAAGGAAACTCCAACTTGGGGCACTTTGCTTTTATTTGAATAATGCTTACATGCAGTCCTATAATGTATAATAGAACATAAAACTATACACAACAATTGGCAAACATTAGAGTCCTGAATAAACAAGATCCACTGTACAAAAAAAGGCACAGAACTGAACAAATCAAGAAAAGACGGTGGTAAGTCCGAGCCAAGAGGAGTAAATCTGAAGCGCATGCTTGGGTTGTAAGCCTAACCAGTTCTTAAACAGGCAGGACATTAAGCAAGGAATGTCTGTGGAATGTTATTATTCATGTCTCCTTCAAAGAATAAAGGTGTTTCTTCCCCATCGTGTGGATACTCTACAATTCTACCATCTCATTCATGCCAGGCACACTACCCTAAAACACACAGCTACCCTCAAACATTTTCAGCTGGTCTCCATGTGAACTGGAAAAACTTTAGAATGACTGGCCTGAATGCCAGGTCCTTACATTGGCCCAATCCTGCCTTTCTCGTCTCGTCTCTTATCTCTCCCTACACACCCTACGTTCCAACCACGCCTCCTTATTCAGTGCTTCCCAAACACGCCATATGGACTCAAACCTCTTCTTGCCTTTTGTTTGTTGGTTGGACCTGGTATTTTCTCAAAGGGAAATAAAAAACCAGGTCTCAGAGCTTGTGGCCATGCCCTCTGGGGTCTGTGGTCTCACAGTTTCTGTGACAGGACCACCAACAAGGCTTGGTCTGATGCAAAAAGATTACAGCCCTAAATGAAAATACCCTTTGGCCACATGCGCGAGGCTGGTGAATAACTTACCCTACAGTAAGGCTCCTTCTTTTTTATATCCTCCTGCTGAATCAGTCTCAAGCCCTGGACACCATTCTGCAGGCCCCTCTCATATAAAGCCTGAAGTCTGGGAATTTCTTCTTGTTCAACAGCTACTATTAGCTTTAAAAAAAAAGATAAAGAGCACAGTTTACAATATCATCAGCTAGGAAAGGTATAAAGTCAACAGGAAAACATAAATTATTACATGACTCAAATAGGGCTGATTTAATTTTTTAAATTCATGTATCTATTTTTTTCCTTTCTTCAGGATTTTATTTTCTTCTTTCATCAAGAAACGTTGACTTTAAAAAGTGGTATTAAAATAAATTTTCCTGGGGCTGGGGATTTAGCTCAGCGGCATAAGCACCTGCCTTGCAAGCAGGCGGTCATGAGTTCGATCCCTGGTACGGGTAAAAAGATTTTAAAAATAAATAAATAAATAAATTTTCCCCAGGGGGAGATGAAGTCTCTGTCTCCAGGTGTGTTGCTTACACAGTCTCCACAAACATCTTCAGCTATGAACAACTCTTACCATTAACTTTCTCAGTTCCAGGGGCAAGAGACATATGTGTTGCTCAGCCTTTAAATTTTTCAAAACAAGTGGCCTTCTTATTTTTATAAAGCAATGTGAAATACTAATAGAACAACAAGACAGCTGGTGTTTAGCATGTTGGGATGTTACTGACAGAACTATCCTTTTTACTTTCTGAAATAAATCGCAAAGCATTTACAAATGCATTCTATTGCGGGGAGGGGGGGAGAACCAGCAAATTCAAGAACTTTGCTTAAAGCATTTTTCCTATTTATTTTTGGACAAAGCATCTGAAAAATTGAGTCTTATTTAACAGTTTCTAGCAAAGAAAAGCATATATTAAGGGTTCACAAATCACTATTCCATACTAAGGAGTCGACAAAATTTCATGAGGTAATAAATAGTTTTAGCTAAAGTTTAAAGGTTATTGAAGTCAACAAAGAAACTCAAAAATAGAAGGATCAAAAGACAAAATTGAGAAAGCAAATAAATGATTCACAGAATAGAAGAAAATCTCTGTAAATCATAAAGCTGATAAAGGTCTAGTATATAGACTGTATAGAACTCTTAATATCAACAAAAACTGTAAATGTTACATTGTGCTTTTTTTTTCACTTAGCATGTTGTCAGGACCATCTTCCTGCACTACTAAAAAAAAAATCTGTAAGGCATCTTTGATGATGACAATGAGCATTTATTCTTAAAAAGCATATGGAGAAGCTGGCATGATGGTGCACACCTGTGATTCCAGCACTGGTGAGGTTGTGGCAGGAGGATCTCTGCAAGTTCAAAGCTAGCATGGGCTACATAGGAAGTTCAAAACTAGCCTGAACTACATAACAAGACCTTGTGTCCAAAAAAAAATCATATGGAGAACAGACATAGTTACCAACCTACAACCTACAGAAATACGACTTATAGGGAATAGTATAAATAACTGTATGCTAATAATTAAAATAACCTGTTGGCTCTCCCTTAGAAATACTGATATGAAAATCACGAGTGAATGTAACAGCATATATAAAAAGGATTATACATGATGACCAACTGGGAATCACAGGAAGGGATGATCAAATTAACATTCAAAATCAAATTAATGTAATACATCATGCTACTGGAATAAAGGTCAAACACTACAGGGTCTTCTCAACGGAAAAAGAAAAAATCCAAACTTCTTCATGATTTAAAATGGAACACACCAACAACAAACCTGCCAACAAATTAGGAAGAGAAAGAAACTTCCTTACTCTGATAAAGAGAATCTAAAACACAAACAAATGTCAGCACCCTACTTAAGGGAGAAAGACTACTTTCACCCTAAGAAATAACTTGAGAATAACAATTTTTACTAATTCTATTCAATATTATATTGGAGGTCCTATCCATGCAAATTAGGTAAGCAAAATAAACAAAAGCATCCAGATTAAGAAAGAAACTAATTTATTTTGTAGATAACATGCTTCTGCATACAAAAAGCCTAAGAAATACACACACACACACACACACACACACACACACACACACTCACATACACTCACATACACTCACACAGTAAGAACTACTAAATGAGCAGCAGCAAAACTTCAGGATAAAAAAATCTATAAAATCAAGGATATTATACATTAAGAATGAATACTCAAAAGTAAAATTAGGAAAACAATTTCCCTCACAAAAGCATCAATAAGAACAAAACATTGAGGAGTAACCTGAACAACAGGAGACAAACCTTATACACTAAAAACTATAAAACATTGTCAAAAGAAATAAAAGATCTAAATAAATGAAAGAAATCCTGTGTTCACAGATTGCAGGATTTCATACTATTAAATTGGCAATATTCCCTAACTTGATCTACAGATTCAACACAATCCCTATTGTAATCCCAGCTACCTTTTTAGGAGAAATTGACAAATTATCCCCACAGTTCATTTGGAAATGGGATGGTATCAGAATAGCTAAAAAATCTTGAAAAAGAAGAATAAAAGTGGAGGATTCATTTCCTGAAATGATATAAAGACAGAAATACACATCGAAGATGATAATTTATAAGTATTTATACTCAAATGACTTTATGTGAGTACCAAAACAATTAACAAAGAATAACCTTCCTAATAATGTTGATACCACCAGGCATCTACATTGAAAAGAATGATATTAGGGGGGCTAGGGATTTAGCTCTGCGGCATAAGCGCCTGCCTTGCAAGCAGGCAGTCGTGAGTTCGATCCCTAGTAAAATCCCGGTAAAAAATGAAAAAGACAAAAAAAAAAAATTAAAAAAAGAAAGAAAGAAAAGAATGATATTAGACCCTACTGACACCATATACTAAAATTAATTCCAAAGTGATCATAGATTTCAATGTAAAATCTAAAGTTACAAAATTCTTAGAAGGAAACAGAAGCAAATATTTATGATCTAGTATTAGGCAATGATTTCTTAGATATGATACTAGAAGCATAAGCAACAAAAGAAGAAGAGATGGGCTTGATCAAAATTAAAACCTCTATTGCATCAAATGACACTATCAAGAAAGTAAAGCGGCAGGAATGCTGGCACATGCCTGTAATCTCAGCACTCAGGAGGCTGAGGCTCTCTAATTCAAGGCCACCCCGGCTTCTTTTCTCACTGCTGAGACAAAATACCCAACATTCAAAATTAAAAGGGGAAAGGTTTATTGTAGCTCACAGTTTGTGGCTTTATTGTAGATTTATTGTAACTCGGTGCATAATTGGTTGGCTCCAAGGCAGGGTGGCACGGTAGAGGGGCATCACAGAACAGGCAGCAGAAGACAAGCAGCAACAGCAAGAAGTAGCAAGTGACAAGCAACAAACAACAGTAGCACTTTCTACCTTTTATATTTTAAACATCCAAACGGTCCATCATCAGGGCAGGTATCACTCACACCCTTAATCCTGGCACCGCACCAAGGATCAATTCCAGCATCATACCCTTGATCCCAGCATCACACACCATAGCTACAGTCACCTCCTGAAAGGCCCACCTTTCACCACATGAAGCTTTGGGGGGCCATCTAGATATAAGCCATAACAGCTACACTGTAAGTTCAAGGCCAGCCTGGACCATATATTGAGACCCTGTCTTATAGATGAGGGAGAAGGAGAGAAAGTGAGGGAGTAAAAGAAAGGGGAGAGAAATCACATAATGTAACAAAACATTCCAAATTATATCATAAGGTGATACAGTAGTATTCACTTATCCACAATTTCCTGATTTTTATTTACCAACAGTCAACCACAGTCCAAAAACATTAAATGAAAAATTCTAGAAATACACACTTCATAAAACTTAACTTGCAAGCCAATCTGAAAAGCATGGGGAAATCCCGCGGTGTTCCACGCCACCTCCCCTGGCACAGGAATGAGCCCTCTGTCCAGCATACCTGTGTCATATACACCGTCCACCATCTGTCATTTTGCAGCCACTGCAGATACCAGATTGACCACACTAATTTTTTTCATTAGTCATTGTTTATCTCTTCCCATGCCTGATTTTTACATTATATTTTATCACTAGGATGCATGCATAAAAAATATCATGGTATGGGTAGGGTTCAGTGTTATCAGATGTTTCCAGTATTCACGGAGGGTCTTGAAATGTGTCCTCTGAGGATAAGAGGAGACAACTATATTCTGTATCCAGAATACATAAAGAGTATGTATCATTCAACAATAAAACATATAGCCCAATTTCAAAATTGAAAGGTTTGATTACACATTTCCCTAAAGAAGCTAGATAAATGGCCAGTAAGCATAAGATACTTAAAATAGAGCAATCCCCGGACTGGACATACAACTAAGTGAGATTAGTGTGTCAGAAAGATATCTGGGCTCCTATTTCCGAGCAGCACTGTTCACAATAGCCAAGATATGGAATCAAAAGCTGGCATAACAGCTTGAAAGAAACTAAGGATAGATTATCTGAATTGGAGGGCAGATTTGTAATATGGGAGCATGAAACAAAAAACTTCTTAAAAATAACAAAAAAACAAACAGCAATAATACAAAAGCTAAAAGATGATAAGAGGATCTATAACTTAAGAATTAAGAACATAAAAGAAGAAGTAGGGACACAAACAAAATGAGGCAGAGAGAACAGCTATTTTGGAGAAAACAACACATCATAATAGCTAGTGCTGATTTAGTATCATCTTGCTTTGAAGTCCCATCAAGCTTTTATTCTTCTGTCTCCATTGGTCTTAACAGGTTGTATCTTATTGGATCTTATTATATGTGATAATATAAGCAAAAACTTTTATAGACAAGGAGATTATACAGAAACCATTGTTCATTTTCTGATAGGCAGTTCTAAATACCCTGTAATACTGTCATTCTCTTGAATGGTTTTACATTGTCTCGATATGTTTGGTGCTACAGTATACAAAGTTATACTCAAAGATTTCAAGGAAAGAGACACTATGGTAACTACTTTTATGTCAGGATATCTTGTGGTGAAACACTATTTTGCTTAAATGGTTATGCTTTGACCTGCGCCGTTTTGTTGTTATGCCCTCTTTTATCTCAGTTCTCCTTTTTTTTAATTATTTATTTTTCTTTTTAATTAAGGGAAAAATAAAAAAAAAGCAGGATACATTATAGTAACCCACTTTGATTTCCTATTAACTTGATTTGAAACCCTGTATAGCCCTCACCATCTTGCTTTGACTTATTTTCCTCTATTCTGCTTTGCTTGATAGTATCAAGTTCAAAAGTATAGGCAAAACTGTAAAGACAATAAGATTCATTATGACGCCCATTCCGGTTGACACTTTTAAAGTCCTGTAATGTCTCCAGTGTTTTGGTTTTATTCTTTATTGTTTTGTTCAATTTTATCATAACTGATGATATAGGTAATTCTTTTTAAGATAGCAAGAGGAAGTATGGTAACCATTGTTGATCACCTAGTATTTTGTTTTTACATTATCTATTATGTCTATCCTTTTGATTTGACTGACTCTGTTCTGTTATGTCACATTTGGTTTTACTCTCTTCAAAAAAAAAGTAATAAGAACTGTGGGAATAATAAAACCCAAAATGTGTAATTGTCATTGTACAAAAGAAAGGAAAAGAAAGTGCTCTAAAGAATATATAACTGCATATATATTTAAGTGTATAAGATAGATAACCATATTACTGAGTTTTATTAGATCATTGAACAAAACTGTTTCCAGTTTCACTGTTTGAAAGTCCACTTTATATGCTTTAATTTTGTAACTTGAACAACTATTTCTAAGATAACGATATGTAATCTATTAACTAGTGATTTCCTACTGTTTATTTTTCCTGAAATTCTGTATAACCTGTACCCTTTTTCTGTTATTTTTTTTTCTTTTTCTCCTTACATTAAAAAAAATGTGGGGGAAAAAAAAAAAATATGCACATTCATAAGGACAGAAAGTATATCAGTGCTTGCTAGAGGGCCAGGGAAGATGGGAACGGGGCCAGGGAAGATGGGAACGGGGGATGGGGTGGGACTGCTAACTGGTTTCTGTACTACGTGATTAAAAAACAAAATTCCTAAAATTAGGCCTGGGGATTTAGCTCAGCGGCATAAGCGCCTGCATTGCAAGCCTGTGGTTGTGAGTTCGAACCCTGGTACCGGTAAAAAGACAAAAAAAAAAAAAAATCCTAAAATTAGATAGAAATGATGTTTGCAAATATACCAAAAGCTAAATTGTGAATATACTAAAAACTGAATTATTCACTTTAAAAATATAAATTATGTATCAACTGTTGGGAGCCGCGGCCGAGCCTGGTCGCCTTACTTGGCAGACGTGAGGCCTGTAGAAAAGAGCAAAGCCCGAGCTAGATTACCCCTCCCATCGAGTGAGCCAAGTTGGCGCCTGCTTCCTGCCCCCTGATTGCCCTGGCGACGTAAACAACCCGCTCTGTAAGATAGTCTGCCTAGCAACAACTGATGTTAGCCAATCAGCCCGCATCGCGCGCTTTGAACTGATTGGCCACTGTTACCCTATAAAAGTAAATGCCTCTCCCGCCACGAGAGAGAAGCACAGAGAGAGATAGAGAAAGTCCACCGGCGAGAAAGGGCTGGTGGCAGAGCGGAGGCCTCGCGGGGCCCACGCGGAGACAAATAAAGACAAGGTTGCACACCGCCAGACTTTGTCGTGTGTTTTTCCTGCCGGCCGGGAACGACACCGACAATCAACAGTGTTATTTTTCAAATTACATGAAGTCATATCATCTTGTTTTTGTTGTTCCCTAATAAAGGATATTGCAAAATATATAGATACAAAAGCAGGAGATAAGGGATTTTTTAAAAATTCAATATTAAACATCACTAAGAAAATGCTGATTATAAGCCAGCCGTGGAGACCCTTGCCTATAATTTCTCCATTCTGGGAAACTGAGGCAGGAGGACTGCAAGTTCCTATCCAGTCTAGGAAACTTAGTGAGATCCAATCTCAAAATAAAAAATAAAAAAGGGCTGGGAACCTAGTTTAGTAGGGTTAAATCTCCAGTAACAGAGTTTAAAAATGTTAGTTATAAATTAGTCAAACCCCAAGTAAAATGCCATACCTTGCCACACTGCTTGTAGGAAATTCCCTTTTGGTTACAATACTCATAGATGAGGGCTGCACCTTGTACACATAATTTAGCTTTCAGAGATTCAGGTTTATAATAAATTCCACTATGTATGACACCACTGTTATGTCCAGTCTGATGAACAGCTACAGAACAAGAAAAACAGGGTAAGAGAAACTACATGACTCCCACAAAACCCAGGAGGTGAGAGAACAATTACATCTGGAGCGATCAGTGCCTGCGGAATTTACTTAGATGCTGGGGACTCCCCTGCATCTCTCCCCAGTATCCACGCCACAGCACTCCCACCGAGCTCTCTGATTCCACCTGCAACTCTGGGATTACAAACTCACCTCTTTTTACCCAGCAAACCATTTCTTTTTTTTTTTTAATTCTTTTTAATTTAATTTATTTTTTTTAATTGGTACCAGGGATGTAACTCACGACCACCTGCTTGCAAGGCAGGTGCTTATGCTGCTGAGCTAATCCCCAGCCCCCAGCAAACCATTTCAAGGGCCCACTGGGATTTCTCTATACTCTGCCCCAAGGCCTTTTCTATCTTTCAGGGGAGTTTCTCAACATTGTACAGAAAATTCTCAGCGAAGACAGAGAAGAGCTGATGGATACTTGAGCTCAATCCTGGGAAACACCACACTTCTCAGGGGTCCCAGCAGAATCAAGCTCCCAGCAGCAGCCCTGAGTACAGCCTCTTATGGCGAGTCCTCCTTCCCTGTCTCTCTCTTCCATCCCTCACTCCTTCCTGTCTCCTCAGGTCACCTGTCAGGTAAATCACCCCCACAACAGTCCATGTCCCAGCTGGGCTTTCAGGAGAACCCCAAATAAGATACTACCATTAGCGTTCTGCAAGACTGACCAGAAGATACAAAATGAGCCAGTATCCAAGCAAACCAGAAAAGCACCATCACCATACCTAAAGCTTTCTCCTTTTCCAAAACACAGACGGAAAGTGCAGGGTGTCTCAGGATGAGAGCTCTGGCAGAGGCAAGCCCCACAATTCCACCACCGACAACGACTATGTCAAATGAGCTGTAAGAGAAAGTGATCTTTAAAGGGCTGCATGTTTACAGTGCATCTTGCCAAACATCCCATGTATGATTTGCATCATCAGTGGACAATTAAACTATGAAGTTGTAATAATTAAAATCAAGTATGCAACTGGGCTATATGCTCTTTGCCTTCACATTTAGAAACAAAGTTTTAAAAGTCACACGCACTGCTGGTCAGTAGGTTAATGGGGACAGCCCAGTGGCAGGGATGATGGCTGGTCATCAAGGCTGTACTCTGTCTCAGCAGCATCTGCCGGGCCACTTACATCACTGGTCACTTTGTGTTAAGCTTAGCACTTTAAAACTTTAAACTATCTAAAATTCAAATGTTCTATTCTGAGTAAATTCCATCAGGTTCAAATGTTCTATTCAAATGTTCCATTCAAATGTTCTATTCAAATTACTATTCTAGTAAGCCTTTAACGCTTTAGTGTGTCAGAATTTATACTTTTTTTCCTGTTGAGAAAGAAGCAGCAGTGAGATCATCAAACCTTAAGGAAATCATTGGCCCAGAACATGCTCAGATCTACAATCTCAGCCATAAGGAACACCAATTATACAACTATTTTAAAAATTATAAATGGTAGTTATCTAATTCTGTAATAAGAAGCTTAAAAGATTACGTTTAGCATTGACCTCCAGATACAACATATTTACATGATTAAAATCTGTCTTATACAGATGGTAAGTAAGGCAGTATCAGGTTAGACCCTTCCTTTGAAAAGTGATTGAAGTTTAAATTTCAAAACCTTAGTAGAAGTATATTAATTTGACCGCAAGTGTTACCATGTCAATGGCTACACACTTGGCACTCGAAATAACTCCCAAACAGCAAGGGCCTGACATATGAGCTTGATAAGGCAAATCCTGCATCTTAATTCAGTGCTCAAGTACACCAAGTCCCCTCATTTAGTGCAAGCCTCATAGTTTGGACAGAGAGAGCTTTCAGTTGGTGGACAACAGGTGCTTCTCCCCTCAAGCACCTTTAGAAAGCTGGGCAAGTGAACAATGATCACAATTAGGAGAGGGTATTTAAAAAGCAGCATAAGTGAAATAGGATTCCAGGCTCACTACATTAATCATAGTTGTTGGCAAAAGTTTGCAATGGTCAACTGCAAAATTACTAACATGATCAGAAGGTATGTGAAAGTCCAAGGCTTTTTCTTTTTTTTTTGTCTTTTTCGTTTTTAATTGGTACCAGGGATCGAACTCATGACTGCCTGCTTACAAGGCAGGCGCTTATGCCGCTGAGCTAAATCTCCAGCCCCGAAAGTCCAAGGCTTTAAATAGGTTTTTAAAAAATCTAAGTTACACTAGATAAGACATAAGGTAAAGTACTCATATTCCTCTGTAATTAATGTCACTAATTTATTAACCATTGTTCCTTATACAACTTTCACAATAACCAGTCCCTTTATGCAATCTAAAAAACTTGACTTTCAAGAATTCCAGAAGAAGCTGAGTGTGCTGGCACACATCTGTAGACTCAGCACCCAGGAGGCTGCGACAGGAGACTAGCCTGGAATACAAAGTTAATTCAAGGCCAGCCTGAACTACGTAGTGAAATCCTGTCTCAAAAATACCAAAGAAAAAATAAAGACCTGTAATTTGATCCCCAGCACAATATATATGCATATAGATATTTCCTATAACAGCGGTGGTAAACCTTCAGCACACGTGCTACAGCAGACTGCTTTTTTTTAATCACTGAAAGCTCTAAAAAGGTTTACTGTCCTGTAACAAGTAAGTCCACATAAGGAAGAGGGGTATGTGTGTGTGTTTCAGAAAGACAGAGAGCTTTCAAATTCTTTTTCTTCTTTACTTTCAGGTTTAACTATATGCACTGCTAGGCTTTCAAGCCTCATTTTCTGTAATAAAACAGCCTACCCTCGCCTTTGCAGGAGCAGTCTGTTTCTACAGGTCTTGATTTCCCTGCTGCCTTCTGATCAGCTGCCTTTGCGTGAAGCAGACTCTCCACTGAGAGGCGCTACTTTAGTACCGCCTTCCCCATAAGACATTTTACCTTGGCTCTTGTCTTTGAAGAGTATAACCACCAATAAACTATTTTTAAACATAAAATTATCATACTGAGTATGTTTTTGAAGTACATATGCTACTCTTTATGCCTCCTTAAATCTGAAGAATCCCTGTACTATAAAGTGACATGAAATTACTGACTTAGGCTCCACAGACCAAAAGACAAAGCCCCGAGCATCCACTACAGAAGGGTCTGGGACATCACAGATGAACACGGGGGACATCTGCAGGCTGAAGGGGGCATCGCTCTCCGTAATTCACTCAGTCTCAAATCTGCACTAATAAGCAGTGTAACAGATAGCTTTTAAAAGATTTAATTAAGAAAAAGTTCACACCTATTGATATAACAAACTCCTGCATAAATATCACCTGACTTCAAGCATCATCAATTCTTGGCAAATCTTGCTTCTCCTATACCCCACCCATTTCACCCACTCTTCAAACATCGTATTACTTCATCTGTAAGTATATTAATGTTATTTCTTTCTTTCTTTTTTTAGACAAGGTTTTGCTATGCAGTTCAGGCTGGCCTTGAACTCACTTGGTAGCCCAGGCTGGTCACCCTAGTTTCAGTGCTATTTCTAAAGCCCTCTTTACAGGGTTGGGGGTTTAGCTCAGTGGCACAAGTGCCTGCCTGGCAAGCGTGAAGTCATGAATTTAATCCCCAATACACCCCCCAAAAAACTCCTAAAATAAAGCCCTTTTTACAGACAACCACCTACCACCATAACTTTAACTAAATAAAATTAACAATAAATTTTATACCATTAAATATTCAGAAAATATGATAAAATCTTTGAAGCTTAGCATTGTCACCAAAAGCAGGATCTAGAAAGGGAAAAATATGATAATTTAGACTTTAAGACAATCAACAAACTGAGACAAAATACTTTCAACTATCTATCTCACTAAGGACTCATACCTACAATATGTAAAGAACTTTCAAAACAAAAGGGCCAGCCGGGCCCAATAGCACACCCTGTAATCCCAGTACTGGGAGGCTGATTCAGGAGGATCACTTCGAGTTTGAGGCTAGCCTGGGCTACAAAGTGAGTTCAAGGCCAGCATGAACCATACAGCAAAACTTTGCATAAAAAAAAAAAGCCAAGCTAACTACAAGTAATCAAGAGATATGTGAATGTTTATATTTTTTCAAAAACTTATTACAGTACAGACACACTGTCAAGAACGATGGGATGTGAAGTGAGCAGGACTGTTTGGAGGGGAATTAAAAGCAATGTCTTGTGCTGTAGTATATTTTGATCATACTACATATGATCATTTAGAAAATGAGCAAAAGATATGAACAAATATTTCATCTACAGGTGACAAGTAAATACATGAAAATCTGATCAACACCATTAGTTCTCCCACTATTCAAATCCTATGTTAAGGAAATGCAAATTAAAACTGCAATGAGATTACCACTATACCTCTACCAGAATGGCTAAAAAAACTAGTACCACAGACTGGTTAGGATGAGGAATCACATTGCTGATGGAAATGTAAAATTATACAGCCACACTGGAAAGTGAGTTTCTTAAAAAAAACCAAAAAACCCAAACTGAACAGGCACTTAGTACATGATTCAGCAGCTACCTTCTTGGGTGTTTATTCCAGAGAAATGAAAACTTGTGTTTATAACAAAACATGTAAGTGAATGTTCACGGCAGCTTGTATTCTCAATACCTGAAAATTGGAAACTGCCCTATATGTCCCTCAAATGATGAAAGGTGAAACAAATTGTGATGCACCCATACCACAAAATGCTATTCAACAATGAAAAAAATAATTCCACTACCAATATTGTCAACATTTTGGATTGATTTCAAGGACATTATGCTGGGTTAAAAAAGATCAGTGTTGAAAGTTTGCATGTTGGGGGTTGGGGATTTGGCACAGTGGCATAAGCGCCTGCCTTGCAAGCAGGCACTCGTGAATTCGATCCCTGGTACCGATAAAAACGAAAAAGACAAAAAAAAAAAAAAAAGTTTGCATGTTGTATTCCACTTATATAACATTCTCAAAATGACAAAATTATAGTAATAGAGAAAGGATTAGTGGCCACCAAAGGTTAAGGATAGGTGAGATGTGATTATATAGGGATAGGTAACATAAGGCTTATCTGTGTCAGTGGAAAAATTCTGTATCTTAATTGAGGGAGTGGTTACAAAAATTAACACGATTACACTGACTAGAACCATACACACAAACAAATGTATGTAAAATTGATGAAATCTTTTTTTTTTCGGTACCAGGGATCGAACTCATGACTGCCTGCTTGCAAGGCAGGCACTTATGCCACTGCGCTAAATCCCCAGCCCCCAATTGATGAAATCTTAACAAGCTCCGTGGGTTGTGCCAATAACAATTTTCTGGTTTTGTACTATTATCTTTGGGGTGAATGACACATGCAACTTTCTTTTTGCAACGTTTCCTTTGTAATTATATGAAAATAAAAAGTATAAACACAATTTTTCCTGGCTCTACTTTTTTTCCCTTAACATTCCCAAAAGAATTATCTACACACTGCACAAGGACTCTTAATACTTTATAACTAGTACCTCACACCTATTCCTTTGAAATTCACTAACACTCAGTACCATAGTCAACTTTTCAAACATCAACATGCAATCCCTTCCCCAACTTAAAACCTTTTATGTAGCCTATCATAGCTCTTAGAATAAAATGCATTAAGTGGTTAAAATTTAAACCCTGCATTCTACACGTTCGTCCCCTATTAACTTCCAGTTACATGCATTGCCCATATTCTAGTACTCAAAATAACCAAAATCTTATCCTTCTAGCCTTTCAGCTGTCACCTAAACTGTCCCCTCTACAGGAAGGAAAAAAAAGACAGTGGTTCCACACGTGACCTCCAAACTTCAAATTACAGGACACTTATTTTTGTTGGTTTGTTTTTTGAGAGGGTCTCACTATGCAGTCCAGCCTGGCCTCAAATTTGTGATCCTCCTGCTTCAGCCTCCCACGTGCTGGGATTATAGGCATGTGCCACTATAACAGGCCTAGGACACTCAATTTTGCAAGATTTAGCAGCTGCCCCTCACAGGGCCAGCTCCATGTAGTGTGCCAGGAACCGATCGGTATAAGCTCAGTTCTGGATCTTCCCAGCAACACCAGGAATGCCAGCTAACACATGGCATCTTTGCTCGATTGCACTGGCTTTTCTCCCTCAAATGGGCCGCTTTACGGCAGATTAAGAACCTGTTCACCACTAAACCTTTAAAGAGGCTGAGCAACCACCTAGACTGAACCACTAGTGCGTGCAGAGGTGAATGCAAACCCAAACTGGCCTCTGACCTCTACATAGCACTGTTTTTTCCTCCGGCCCATCAAAGCCCGAGTGAACCCAGCAAGGCGGTAGCTGCTGGGATCCAGACCTCTTCTCGCGGCCAGCACCGGGCATGGACAAGCCGGGGCCGGATCCAGCGCAGGCGGCGGGGTCGCGTCAGCGGCCACTCACCTGGTGCTGCCACTGCGGACACCCTGGCGCAGCGGCCAGAACCTCCCTGGCACCAGCCTTCGCGCCCGGGGGAAGCCCCCGGGGGACCCTCCACGGGCCCGTCCGCAGGCACCACCCAAGAAACGCAGCGCTGGCACCATAGCCTGCCCCCCCTTCCCGTCCTCTGCCCCCGGGGACAGCCACTTGAACTCGACGCGGGTACAGAAGCTCTCTAGCCCCGCCCCCTTGCGAGGACCAATGACGCGAACGCTTTCGCCCCACGTGGGAGTGGCGCCAGTGCCCAATGGGCGCACGCGGCGGAGGGCGAAGGGCAGGCCGTAGCGTCGTCGACGCGGGGACGCACGGACGCTCGCTCCCGGCGACGCCGTGAGTAGGGAAGGTTGGTCCCCTCGCGGGGCGGAACTAGGGTTGTGGTTATGCTCTGCCCGTTCCCACTCTGTTAGAGCTGGGCTGATTGAAAATCTGGCGTGGTTGAGACTTTCACCGCCGAGCGCACTGGGGTCGCGAGAACGTCTGGGCTCTTTCGGTGAAATCGCCCTCTCCGGTGGGCCGCGGCCTCCCGGTCCGCACGGCCCCGCCCCGCGCTTTTGCGGTGTCAGCCGCGGCTTCTCCCGATGGGGCTCCGGGCGGTGCCCTTCGATCAGTTATTGATTCATGTTGTAAATATCGAGCGCCTGCTAGTCCAAACCGCGCACTGGGTTCTGGATGAACTTGACAGCGTAGTCTCGGCCGTCACTTAGCAACCTGGGGTGTTTTCTTAAGCACGGGGTCGAGATTCAGTTTTAATATGCCTTCCGGGCTCCGAACGCTCGGCGACCTGTGCAGGCTCTTCCCTAGATTGCTTACCTGTCAGATGAAGGTGGTGGGCAGTGTCATCTCTGAAGGACCTTATAGCTGTTAACAGATTACATGGCTCTTGTCGCGATGCCAACCTAATACCGGAACCATTTGCTTGGTGGCGGTTTTTAATATTTAGGATCAACACAGCTGAAGAACTAAATTAGAATGATAAAACTGTACTGCTGGTAGAACTTTGTCTTTTTGAATCTTGATTCCTGTCATTTGTCGCCTCTTAGACCCTCCTCTGTGAACTGGCCCCGTTACACCAGATAGAGCCCTTCAGAAGTTGATCACAGTGAAGAGTTAGGTAAATGACAGTTTGAATTGTCTTTACTACAAACACTAGTATGTATTTCTGTTTTACTATGTGGGGAGGGGTAGAATATTACCTGCTGTTCCATCACACTGAAAAAAATGGTTTTTGTTTTTTGAGACACACGTACGCATACACGCGCGCGCATACCAGGGACTGAACCCAAGGCCGCCTTACTGAGCTATATCCCAGTATTTTGTTTTGTTTTGTTTTTTTTAAACAGGGTCTCCCTAAATTGCTAAATTGCCCACGCTGGATTCAGGCTTGCAATCATCTTGCCTCAATCAGGTTCCCATAGTGCTGGGATTACAGGTGTGGGACATCATGCCTGGCTAAAAATGGTTGTTTTTAAAATTCACTGTTTTGGGTTGACATAACTGTAGACTCCCATACAGTTGTAAGAAATCATAGAGTTTCTGTGTACCTTTTGTCCATCTCCCCTAGGGATAACATCTTGTAAAACTATAGAGCCCAGGCAACTGACATTGACACAGACTTACTCAGATTTCCATTTTATATTGCCGTGTTTGCATTTAGTTCTGTAAATTATTATCTTGTATCCACCCTCACCATTAAGATGTAGTACTGTTCCATCACAAGAATCCCTCTAGCCCTGTCACAACCAAACTTCCCCTGTAATCCTCCCACCAATCTTCTCTTCCTTTCTAAAATTATCATTTTAAGGTTATGTAATTTTACAGTAATTCTTTTTTTTTTTTTTTTTTTTGTCTTTTTCCTTTTTATCGGTACCGGGGATCGAACTCACGACTGCCTGCTTTCAAGGCAGGCGCTTATGCCGCTGAGCTAAACCCCCAACCCCCAATTTTACAGTAATTCTTAACTATTGGTCTTTTGCACTTGAAACTCATTTAAGCTGTATGTATCAGTAGTTCGTTTCTTTTTATTTCTGGGTAGCATTTCATAATCATAAATGTATGTTTAACCATCCATTCATTAAAAACCATTCAAATTCTTTCAGCTTTTAGATATCATAAATAAAGCTATTTTAACTTTAGCGTATATCTTTTTGTGTGGACATGTTCTTTCTCTAAGTGTTCAAGGGTCCAATTACTGGGTCATCTGGTAAGCTCATGTTTAATTTTGAAAGAAAATACCAAACCTTTCCAGAGTGGCTGAATTGTTTTGCATACCTACCAGCAATGTTTGATCCAGTTTCCTCATTGTTGCCAGCATTAGGTTTTGTCACTAAAGGTTTATTTCAGCCATTTTGACAAGCATATTATAAAGGTTTTTAAATGTGCACAAGATACAGTTAATTTGATGGTAAATTGAATGCAAAATTATACTGTCAGGGTCTGTGATCAGAGTATTGTGGGCCATATGAGCCCATCGTATCTTTTTGAATTGATATGTAATTTTGAGCATATATTTCTTAGTTAGCAAGGGTGAAAGAACAAACTCATTGCATGAACTCTTTGTAAAATTTTGTGCCACATGAACTCTTTGTAAAATTTTGTGCCATTGCCCACTCTCCTCCCAAGGCTTGTACAATGGTTTGTTTGAATTAAGTAATTTAAATCAAGAGTTTGTGTTGCATTTTATATGCCCTGCAATGTCTGTGGGAAGAGGCATCTGTATTCCTGACACGATTCTCCTTGGTTGAGAACTCAGGTTCACCTTCTTCCAGTGTAGGCCAGAACCTAGAAGTTAGTTCAATGAGTGCCATTTGATGGCCTAAGAGTGACTTTTTAGGAACTTAGGTTCCAATCCCTAATGAATTGTTCTGTTGATCTGTTTCACTTGATGAGTCTACATACCTGAAGAATGAGATGTAGAAACAGCAGTGAGGGATTTTATGATGGGATAGATTGTAATTAGGGAAGAACTTCCCTTATTCTGGTGCCCCCACCTCTTATCGCCACACTAGTTCAAGAACTTGTTCAGTCTTTGCTGACTTAGGCACACTTTGAATAGCCCACTCCATTATTGCATTTAATATATAACTTTCATAACTCTCACTTGTAAAAAATTCAAGCCTGCTCAGATGACTCTAAATATATCTTATTTTGAGTAATACATTAGAGATCCAGCCTTATCTAAGTCATAAACATAATGGCAGCTTTTAGAAACACAAATCTAAATCAATTTCTAATAATAAGCCTGATGAGGTTTTTTTTTCTTCCATAATTTGAATTTCTAGATTATTTATGGCACCAGATATTTAGTAATGGTTATTTTCAAATTTAATTGCTTTCTCTTCCTTTATTAGAGCCAAATTCATAAGTCACCACTAGAGGTCTCCTCATTCCTTGTGGAAAGCATTCCCAGGATTAGGGGCTTAGACTCAATAGTTCATTTCCTAAATCTGTTGAGAATGTGAAAACCTGCTATTTTTAATTTTATTGCCAAATGTAGATTTAATGTTTTATTTTAAATATAATATCTAGGGCTTTAGAGATCATGACTGAGCTGAATTTGGCTTTCCATTTAAATTGAATTATAAAATGGGCCAAAATGAAACAAGTGGGGAAGAATTTGGTTTTCAAAACAATGTTATTTGCTGAGTTATAGCTCAGTGGCATGAGCATCTGCCTGGCATCACAAGATCCTGAATTGAATTCCCAGTACAAACTAACAAACAAAAAGACAGTGCTATTTCATTTGCTTAATAACATTTTTCTCTGACTTGACGTTTACCCATGGATATATGCCAACCATTGAAGACTATTTCTTTTTTTCTTTTTATCGGTACCGGGGATCGAACTCACAATCGCCTGCTTGCAAGGCAGGTGCTTATGCTGCTGAGCTAAATCCCCAGCCCCACCACTGAAGACTATTAACACATATTTATTAAGCTTTTGCATTATACAAGAAAAATGGAAATGAGTAACATGTGATCTTTGTACTTCCATTTGCTTCAAGCACTTTTTTTTTACAATTTAGAAGTCTTAAGTCATATTTTAAGACATTTGATGGGAAGCTTCCCTTCCTTTTCTAGGCTCTGTTAGGCATCACTTAGGCACATGTTCACAAGTCTAATAAGATGTCACTTTGGATATTATTCCTCTGTTTACATGTCATCTGTCTTCTTCATTAAACTGGAGGACAGGAACCAGATTTTTATTTATATCTTTTTCTCCTCTGTAATGGTTTTAGCTTTCCACTGTTTCTTTTGCACTAGTTAGAGCAGATAGTCAGTAAACGTTTATTAAGTGAATATGAATAGACAGACATGAATTCTGAGTAAGTGTTGGAGGTTGGTTAAGATTTCCACAGACAGGGTTGGGGTCGGGTAAATAAAGGGAACCACTGAATAGAAGCTGGGAGAAGCCGGGATTTGCAAGTAAGGTTGGCAACCAACGGAGTTATGACAGGTGAGTGTAGGTGGGGAGAGCCACAGCAGAGAGCTGAAAAGGGTTGAGACCATGAGAGGAGGTGGCACGACCGAAGTGTGCAGTAACAAAAACGGTGGTGATGGAAAGGGGACAGGGAGGGGGCTGGTTAGTTTGGTGGCAGAGTGTTTATCACATCCCCAGCACTGGGGGGAGGAGGGGAGGGCAGATGGGGAAAGAAGGCAAAGGTGAAGCACAGCAAGCGATTCCCGGGTCTGTGCCCAGGCTTGCTCGATGCCTCAACCCTCAGTCACTTCCTCAGCCCTTAAGTGGTTCTCTCTCAGGCATCGTTTTAGTTGTCTTCTTTCTGGTGAGTTCTAGAATCATCCAGTGATTGAGAAAAGGACCCTGGGCTGCAGGAGAGAAGTGGGTCCAAGTTTCAGCACTGGCGCCTATTAGCTATGAGACCCTGAACACGTGCCTTCAAACACATGCACGTATTAATGCCCCACCTTGTTCCAGAGAGATTTAGGGTGTCAGAGATTCAATTTCCTCATGTCTAAATGAGAAGCTTAGTCTGAGGTGATCTGAGTTTCTTCCAGCTCTTAACACTTTGTGACTCTTGAGTCTAATGAATTTTTTTCCATTTAGGAGATAATAGCATTTTATATTTAGAAACTGAAAAACCAAAAGACAAACACACACACACACAAGTGACCCAACAACCCTGATCTCCTGATGTTGATTTCTGTTAGCAACGCTGCTATCCTACCTGTGATCCAGCACCGAAACATACCTTCAACTCCTCTGGCCTTTCCCCGACATCTCACTTCTGAGCAGCACAGACTCTATAATGTCATTCCTGCCTTTCTGTGACTATGCCCTTTCCTGTGGCCACATGGAGTTGAAGGCTTTTATTCCCTCGTTGGCTGTTTCTGTCTCTCTCTGGTGACCCTCAACTTTTTAAACCGCGTGATCTTACTGTGTCACTCAGGCCAGCCTCAAATTCCTGGGCTCACACAAGCTTCCTACCACCATTCCTGGCTTGACCCTGATGCAGCCGTCTGAGTTCGTTTCCTGAAGCACAGCAGCAACAATGCCAATACTCTGTTCTAAAACCTCAGTGACTCCCAAGTGCCTTCAGAAAAACATCCAAATTCCTTGGCAGGATGTGCAAGGCCCCTTGCCTGTGTCTTCTCATGACTCCTGTCTGCTAACCAAACTTAGGTACACTTTGCCTCAGATTTTCCTGCCTTGGCTAATAACCTAGCATAACGTTTCCTGGCATCTTAGTCTGTTGAAATCCTCTCTGTCCTTATTTTAACTCTTTATCATCCTGTCATTTAACTATTTGACAACTTGTCTCGGGAAACTCTGTCCTGCATTAAATTGTTAGTTCCCGAAGGCACAGATGATGTTTCATTTACTTTTGCTCCCCTGCACATACCTAACATGCTACTAGAGAAATTTGAATTGAGGTAAGTCATATTCAGACCTAATCTAAAAATCACTTTCTCCGCTCATGCATATAGATTTTTCACAGCTGGGAATCATTTGAAAAAATAAGGGAGAAAACCCAGGATCCGAGAGGTGGAGTAACTTGGCCAGTCTTTCCCAGCTGCCTCTGCAGTTCTTTGTTCTGATCTGGTGACCCTACGAGCAGCCGTATCACCAGTAGACCTATAGCATAAGTTGAACGTTCATGACTCCGCTCCCTTCCCGGATGTACATATCTCAGTGTGTTTCTTCCTAAGTGATTGCAGTTTGTTATTTTGATACTGTAAACATTGGGAGTGCAACCAGTTTGAGCAAATGTGTATTGTTAGTAACACTGTCTGAACAGACACTAGGTGGCAACGGTGGGACTCCTTTTGGGGTTTGGACAATGGGACCTGTGGCTGGCAGGATTTAGACACTAAGTCCAAGCCCTCAACTTTTGCAAGAAAAAGACAAACAGAAAAACCAAGAACTCGAGACAGGAGGGACTTGCTCAGTAATTATTGAGTGGCAAATAAATCAACAGCTTTCTTACACAGCAGCATTGACCATGAAGTCGTGGAGTAAGTCACTACATGTAGTAGTCTCTGGCTGCCAGCTGATGATCTAACATGAGTATTGTTTTGTGTGCCTAGATCTAATGATGCTGTTTGGAAAAATTTCCCAGCAGTTATTCAGCTTAAAGAGACTCCCTTGGTCATGTGATTCCAGATACTTCTGGGGCTGGCTGAATGCAGTGTTTAATAAGTAAGTTACTCTAACCAAAATAAAGCAGTGTGGGGTGATTATAGCTAGCTGAGCACCCAAAGGCAGGTTTGCTTATTTTTTTATTTTAAAATAAAAAATATTTTATTTTTTCCCCCTTTGGGTACCGGGGATTGAACTCATGACCACACTCTTACCTGGCTGAGCTACATCTCCAGCCCATATTTCTTATATTTCAGAAAAAAAATTAACAATGTATACAGAATGATCCTTTTTATAGATAAAACATGCAAACTTGGCGAAAGGAATCAGAAGAATAGACTACAAAATATTAACTGTGGTTGCAGTATCTTAGTGATTTTTATCTGTTGTTTTGATACCTTCTGGTTTTTAAAAATGAACACTATTTTGTGATCAGAAAAACTTAGTAATTTCAAAATATTTTATTCTATCGCTTCTTAAGGAATGTCTTTAGGGTTTTGACTACTATCAAAAACTCAAGTTTTGGGTACCGGGGATTGAACTCATAACCTTGCACTTGCCAGGCAGGCACTTGTGCCCCTGAGCTATATCCTCAGCCCCTGCAAATTCAAGTTTTTAAAAATGAGTGGGTGGCATGCTTAGAAATACTATTTTAAAACTGTAACTAACTTTCTCATTGCTTAATATGATGTCATGATTGGTAACTAGAGAAAAAAGCATATGTAGAAATTAATAAATATCACTTAAGGGGATAAATTTGAAAATGGGCCCAAAATTAGCCCCTGCCTCCCATTTTTTTGTGATACTAGAGATTGAACTCAGGACCTTGTGCTTGCTGAGCAGGCGCTGTGCCATGAGCTATATCCCTGGCCCATCCCTCTTCAACCCTTTATCATTAACAAAAAAGCTAGCTAAGTAGACATTCATTCACTCTTTATTACTAGGTATGTCTGGTGTCTGGCACTGTGCTGCATATAAACCAATGAAGACTCCTGTCTCCTTGATGAACTCATAAAAATAATATACCCTAGAAGCTGGGCGTGGGGTGCAGTCCTATAATATTCACTTGGAAGGGCTAAGGCAGGAGGATCACAAGTTTGAGCTAGCCTGGCTAACTTAATGACTTAGCAAGACCCTGTCTCAAAATTAAAAAGAAAAATGGAATGAGGAGGACTGGGGGCATAGCTCAGTGAAAAGTCCCCAAGTTCAATCCCCAGTACCATTTCAGATAATAGTAATGATAATCTTCAGGACTGGGGGTATAGCTCAGTGGTAGAACATTTGCCTAGCATGTATGAGACCCTGGGGTTGATCCCCATCACCACCAAAAATGCTTTTTTCTTAAAAAAAAAAAAAAATGTTACCTGACCAACATTACCCAGAGACAAAAACAAAAACTTAGCAGGTAGAGCTACAGTCCTTTGCATTTGCGTGGATCTCATTAATACACCAGTGAGAGCTTGTCGCTGTTTTGTGTTCATGGTAGCAACTACAGTTCCAAAGCCAGTGACCACAGTGAAAGGGACCTGCTGCTCTTCTCTTGCCTGCAGAGTGGATTATGAGCGCATCAGGGCTGTTGGCCCGGACAGGGCGGCATCTGAGTGGCTGCTGCGTTGCGGGGCCACAGTCCGTTACCATGGCCAGGAGAGGTGGCAGAAGGACTACAACCAACTCCCGACAGGCCCCCTGGACAAATATAAGATTCAAGCGATCGATGCCACAGACTCTTGCATCATGAACATTGGATTTGATCACATGGGTAACTACCCTGTCATTTGCTTATAGGAAATGCAGGCGATTGGCATGACCATTGCTTTGTAGTTATCTCGTGATTATGGTTGTTGGTAGGTCCTTTTTGCCTGTGCAGTATAATCAAGTTTGCTTTTTTTCCCGTGTTTGGTATTTATTTTTAATGTTTAGGTGTTATAAACACCTTTCTTCCCTTACTAAGCTTATTTCTACATTCCTTTATTGGCGTAAAGTTCAAAGCTTTGGCAAGTTAGCGTTTTAAAATTGCTGCTCAATAATGGAAGACATTCTATCCCTGTAATTTTTGCTTGGGGGGGCATTTCTTTCCACCAGCACATGGCATCTGACTGCTCGGTGACTGACTGGCTGACTGACTGTGCAGTGAATACTTTGGGCGGTTAGTAGGGTGAGCAGAATTTCCATTTCCAAAGCCAGGACAGCCCTGGTAAACTGGGACAGTCATCTTAATGGCAAAGCAGATTATTAAACTTTATCCTTTCCCCCCACAGAAGGCCTAGAACATGTTGAAAAAATAAAATTATGCAAGTGCCATTATATTGAGGATGACTGTTTGTTGAGGATTAGCCAACTTGAAAAATTACAGAAAAGCCTGTTGGAAATGGAAATAATTTCCTGTGGGAATGTCACAGACAAGGGCATCGTTGCTTTGCGTCACTTAAGGTAGGTGGTCGAAGCCCAAAGGGAAACTTGGTAATGACAGGTGAATTATCAGGGTTTAAAACACATGAGGAGTGGTGTCCTTTTTCAGGTCTGAAAAATACATTTCAAGAAAATGACCATGCTCTCATTTATGATACTTCAGAGTGATCAAGCATAACACTTGACACTCAAGTTTTATTGCATTTTTAAGGGACATCTTTTAAATCATTAAATCTACATAAAGCAGCATTTGTGGTGCTTGCCGCAATAAGCCCTCAAAAAGCATTAGCTATCGTGCTTCCTCTCCATCTTTTGAACCCATTTTCCCAGGTGTTCAGTATCCTCATGACATTTGGTACGTACCGATTAGCACTTAACATTGTAAGTACATTGCTTTGGGGGGCAGGGGAAGTCTTAAAGCAGTCACCCGCCTGTCTCGAGCCCAGGACACTGCCTGCCACTTTAATTTCGGAAAACACCCGCCTATCAGTTTAGGAAAGCTGCCCCACATCCCTTCCTGCCACCTACACACTGTGCCATTCATTAGCTTGCCTGGAGCTAGTGCCCCATCCCAAATGCCGAGAAACAAGACAGGCAAGGAATGCCTAGTTCTAAAATTGCAGGATTGGGAGTCATTAGGAAGACGACGAAAGATTGTGTTTTGTGAAATCCCTATTTTAGATATTCTGTCATTCCGATTCTAAACCTAGCTAATGTAGTTCTGCGTAAATAGGTAATGATCTGCCAACACCTCAGTATCAGAGGAAGTTTGAGAAATTTTAAATATTAGGTCCCCAAAATATTAGATTGTTCATCTCCTTACATACACTGGAGCTTCAAAACTCCTTCTTCTAATAGAAACTTGAGCATTTTTAAGAACTTTCCCACTTTCTTCCCTTTTTTTGGGTAAGATTCAAATTTCATATTTCACATGCAAAGGAGATATGTACTACCTTACATATGTGTATAATTTAAAAAGATTCAGCTAGAAATATTGATGTGATTAAGCAAAATTATAATTTTTAAAATCTTAGTTCCTAGCATTTCATTCCATTTAAAGTAGCACTCTAAGACAACTGCTGTAAAAGTCCCTTCAAAGATATAAGGGTGATATAAATACCTGTATCTGTATATAATTCTGTATATAATTTTTCCTAAAAGTTACTGAATAGAGTTTTGGGTTTCTGTTTTCATTACTGAGATTTGAACCCGGGGCCTCTGCACTAAGCTGCCCAGTTGGCTTCAAACTTGCAGTCCTTCTGCTTCAGCCTTCAGAGTAGCTCAGATTACAGGAATGAACCACCTGGCCCAGATGAATTAATTTTTAAATCTGTGACAATAAAGGGCAAACTGAGGTGACTTTTTCTTTCTTTCTTTGCAGAAACCTCAAGTATTTGTTGTTAAGTGATCTTCCTGGAGTAAGAGAAAAAGAAAATATTGTCCAAGTTTTTAAGACAACACTGCCTTCTCTTGAACTAGAATTACAACTGAAGTAAAATAATAGTGTTTTATTTCAGTATGAAGGATTATTTGGAATTGTTGGCCCTAAAAGATAACAAATATATAATCATCAGTAGAACCATAACAGTGTCATATCATGGCATTTTAGAAGCACAAAAAATAACTTTCATGTGGAAAAAATAAATGTTCAGACATAACTCGCTAATGTTACTAAGTTGGAAGTGAGAAATTATGTAATTAAATCATTTTAAGAAAAATGCAAACTAGGTGGTATTTTAAGTCTAATGCATTCATTTAAAACAGCTATATATTGTTATTTCTTGATGTAGATATTGACAGAGTTCTCTAAAATGAATTCACTGTGCAACACAAATATTTTGTTGTTGTTGTTCTGGGGATCAAATTTGCAACCTCATGCTTGCCAGGCAGGTGCTTATACCACTGAGCTAAATCCCTGGCCCAACACAAATACTCTTTATTGTATTTTCACAACTTTGGTTACACTTTCTTGTGACTGTAGAGTTACAGAAGCATGTTACTACAAATGCACAATTATGCATTACAGATTCATTGATGGGTGGATTATGCAGTGGTCAGTGGTTGTCCACGTGTGCATTGCACATTGCTTCCTAGGTTTGCACACGTCTCAGGGTGTTGCGTGACTGTGTGTTTGGTGCTACGTAAGTTTTCCCAGAATATTCACTGGTTAACTTGCCTATGTGATTAGCTTAGGCAAGTGTTCGATTAAAATTGCACGTGCATCTTGGCTCAATTCAGAGTTTGCTGATTGCAGGAGAACAAAGGTAGCAATCTTAAACAACACCAGGCTTCACTTAGGTGTTTTCTCCAATTAATAGTTTAAAGCTGGATGTGATGGCACATGCCTGTAATCCCAGCACTGGAGGGGCTGAAACAGGAGGATCTCCAGGAGTTCAAGGCCAGCCTGAACTACATAGTAAGTACCTGTCTCAAAACAACAACAGACCAAAAATTTGCTTTAAGTAAAATTTTAATGTATCAATAGACACTAATTTTTCTTCCCTCAAATACCTTGGGTGCTGCCTCCTATGAGCTGAAGGGACATTAAATGCAAGTATAAATAAACATAAAACTAGACATAAAACTCAATTTATGTCTAGAAAATAGCAATGAAGCATGACATAAATAGATAAAAATAAGTCTTTATTTTTACCTACGTCAAATAGTTCTGATTCCATTATTGTTGGTTGTGTGCTGATTTATTTGTGGATTTCTGTATATTTGGTTTTAACATTAAACTAGTCAATATAAACTTTACTGGAAATGAATGTAAAATAAACTTTTTATATGATATATCTGTAAGCAAAGAAATGAATTTGAGTGACATTTAGAACTAAGCATATAGGGAGACATTCACCCATATTTTGTAAGGGAAATGAAATGAACCTCCTTATGTAAATAACATAGCATAAATAATACACAGTTTACTAACAGAATTACAATTGTCATTGAAAATCAAAATGGTATATAAAAAGGATGTCAAACAGATTCAGGTATATAGTGGTGGTTCTGTGCTGAACCAAAAAGTGACATGGTTAAATTAAGTTCAAGCATAAATTTAATAGAATTCATTAGAGAAAAAAGAGCCTTTTTTCACATTAGTTTTATTAGTGTGTGGTGAGACAACTGATTCTTTACGATTTAGTCTGGAACTACTTTTTCTTTTCGTTTCTTTGAGACAGGGTCTCACTATGCAGTTCAAGCTGGCCTTCAGCTCACTGTGTAGCCCAGACTGAACTCAAACTTGCAATGATCCTCCTGCCTCAGCCCCCGGAGTGCAGGGACGACAGGTGTGTGTCACCGCACCCGGCTTGGAGCTACTTTTCTACTCTGGATGGTTTTTCTGTGAAACTATTAGATGAATCAGGCAGTTACAGTCATCTGCCTTCGTCAAATACATTTTCATGGACCGAGAGAGACAAGAAAGACAACACAGGAGTTGGATATCCTTCCACGTCACTCGAATCAAGGCTGTAGACCAGAAATTGAGTAATCCTGGGACTGTTATTTTACCACTATCAGATCTATGCTACACCCGTGAGGAAGCCTTAGAATATGGCTGCGGGAGCCAGTTACTGAGATGACAGAATCCAGTGGACAAGTTAGCAGTAAGTGAATGGGGTCAAGTGCTGTCACAAAGAAAATTAACACAGGAAGACGGTGAGCGTGCAGAAGAAATGTGTGGAAGAGCCAATGAAACGCAGCTTGGAGAACCACGGCTGAGAACAGCCAGGCTGAGAACAGTTTGGCAACCAGAAATGAATTGAGCTGTAAGGAAGGGGTGGGGCTTCACATGGCCCTGTGTGCAGGGAGCAAGCACAGAAAGGCTTTCTGTGGTTTGGGGGTTAGCTCAGCAGCACAAAGCACCTGCCTTGCAAGCATGAGTTCCATCCCTGGTACCAAGAAAAAAGCTTTTTGTTTAGGAGCAGTAGACCAAATCAAAATTACTTCAAATCTCCCTGTCCAAAGCTAGGAATCGTCAACACTAATCATTTGCTCTTATTAGCTGTATTAGGTGTTGAGATTGCATGTACCCACATGTGTGTCAGCAAGGACACATGCACATATCCACACCAACACCGTAGTAGGGAAAGGTGTTCAGGGAACATGTCAGCTAACAACCTAACACCTTTCATGACTCCGGTAAAAGTGGCCAGCCCGTTCCTATCAAACCCACATCAGTACACACAGTGCTACCTATAGATCTGTCTGCATGTCTGAGGCCGAGCTGGAGAGAACGAAGGCCTAATTATTTTCCAGCTGACAGGTTCAGGACCTGTGAAGCCTGTAGGTCTTGTTCTACCCTGAGCGCTTTGGTCAGCAGCCAAGCTTCATGCCATCATTCACAAGAAGAACTGGGTAAACAAGGGTAGATGAGTACAGTAAATACGTCTTGCATGCAAGAATGACTAAGGTGCATCGTTTACTAAAGGTGAAAACAAAAATGTATGTACCAAACTCATAAACATCAACTATTAAACATCTTATAAAGTCTTTATGATAATCAGTATGAGTTTAAATATGGCTGAACAATTTAGATACTCTAAAAAAAAGTTTTAAAATTTAAAAAGATCAAGAGATTGAGTAAGCAGGAAGTGGCATTTTAAACATTTCGATTTCAAGAAGTAAGACTCCCTTCGAGATGATGTTGAAACAACCTGAAAGGCAAGGGACAGGACTCAAGGTGACCACATCTGGGTAGTGTGGGATCCATTATTCACATGTGGCACAGCGTACAACGGAAGCATCAATCTTTGTAACATTATCTGACTTTGCCAGAGGTACGGGCAGTCGATGCAGTTTATTTTCTACCCATAGCTCAGCTGCTTTGATAAACAAAATTACAAGTGAGATTCCAAATGGGTCTTTCCTTTCTATTCTGGACCCCAGCACCAGGCGTGGAAGACAAAACTGTTTGCTGGAATTTCCCTTCACATCTTGCCAAGTAGCCTCCCAGTTATGCTTTCAACCACCGTAACTGTTTTCAATCAAATGTTTGAGATTCATTTTCTTCAAGTTACTGATCAACTCTTCCTTTATAATCAATCTCTTAACTCTTTAAATGTTTGGGAAGCGGTAGTTAAATTTCTTGACATGACAGTACTGCTTCTTATTCTCCAAAGCGGGAAAGATGGTGCTGCTCGTTAGCTGAGGTAGGTACTGCAGCTGAGAACACAAAACACAGAATCAGGCTCAACAACCTGCCACACACTGTTTTCATTATTCAGAATACATTACAAAAGAGGCAATGAAGTAACTTTTTAGCACAGAAACTTTTTTTTGCACAAAATCCAGAATCTGAAAAGAGAAGTGTTTCAATTTGATGTCTACTTTTTCTTGAAATAAAGGTTTACTTTATATTAAAACGCAAACATTAAAGAGAATTTAGAGAAAATGAAACTGGAAATCTGCAACGTTCACATTACTGAGAAAAGGCATAGACTTAAGGAGCTGGGCGCTTGCTACGCCTCAGGAATCACGCAGCCATTGTCCTGCCCCACAGCAGAGAACACTGATGCCCACAGGACCTAGTAATTTGCCCATTTATTCCCTTGGTTTAAAAGGCAAAGCTGTTCAGGCTCAGTGGTCCAACACTTACAGGGTTCACTTCCCAGTACAGGGATAGGAGCACAAAACAGTCTGCCTTGAGCACCCAGAAAACACTTGTATTGATTGTCAGTATCAAATAAGAAGAACACAACCTTACTGTTCATAAGTTACTACATGACATTAGGTCTCTGAAAAGAGGGTTATTTTTAGTACTTTTAAATCAAACAATCATGATTAAAAAGCAATCGCCCGGACAGTGATGCTCCCCTAGTCTTTCGAGCACAGCTGTTTCCAGCATCTCTTTGCTCTTGGGCTCAAACAGTGAGATAGGAATAACTGGGGTCAAGGGCAGTGGGAGTGTGTTTCTGGCCCGTTTCACTATCGAGATCACGTATGACAGAGGATAAAATGAAAACATTCCTAATTTTGTGACTGTGGTCTCCCTCAGGGCCCTGGAGGTCCTGCAGCACCTATTTCTAATAAACTCTCCCCCTCTCCTTTCTCCAAACTTAACACGTGCCCCTGACACCTTCACTGTTCTGGGCTACAAAGGCTGCAAAGATCAAGACTCAGGCGAGATAATTCAGTGTTCACAAACAGTACATGCAGGCAGATTCAAAGCGACAAGGAGCAGCCAGCCCCTCTGAACTGTGGCTCCTGAGGTTGTGTGGTCTGTTCTAGATCACTGCAGCTCCCGCCTCCCACAAGACAAGGTCAGGGAGGCCAGGTGCACCGTGGCTGCTGCTCAGGCTCACTGCGCATCCTGCCAACACTGCTGCAAGTGCTGGGGCTCGGAGGGTCAGGAAGGCAAGGAGCTCCTATTTGGATAAATCTTGAATGTTAATACTGAAGGTAAACACCACGGCAGACTGCAGCCCAGACAGATCCAGCTGCACTTTCCCAAGTGCAAGAAACATGTTCAGCGGGACTCACAGCTGTACCTGGCTGAGACCCGAGCTTGTGCATAGCAGAAACCCTGGCCCCCGGGTGGCACGGGAAACGATTCCAGGAGGAAGGGGCCTTCGACGTCTCTGGGGCTCTTGGTTGGAGACCATGGGCCCTGACCCCCACCCCACCTCCAGGCTAGGCTCCAGCCCTCTACTGGGTTGCAGGCATGAAATCATTTGAAAGCGAAACCTTGGTTGTTTCTGTCAAGCAAGCCACAGTCTTTACCCTGGGCAGGTGTTTTTGGCTCTGTCTCAGGGCCTTCCTTGTTGGTTTGTCAGGTTCTTTTGTCAGCCCTCTCACTTCTCTGATGCTGTCAAAATACGGGTGCCGCAACAGCTGTTCGCAGGTCAGTCTCTCGCCAGGGTCCATGTGCAGGCAACCCTGCAAGAAAAGGAGGTTTCTTCATCCTTCTTCAGAACTCTACTGGTTTACTACTCGTATTTTTTCGTTATCTGAAGGACTAAATGCCACGATTTTTCTTTCTTTATATTTTTATTTTGGCAGCGCTGAAGATGGAACCAAGACCTCTTGCATCCCAGGACTCTATCCTCTGTGCTCACTCCTAATCCTTGTAATTATTTTTAAATTGTTTCAGCTGGGCGTGGTGACACACACCTGTAATCCCAGCACTGGGGAGGCTGAGGCAGGAGGATCACAGTGAATTCGAGGCCAGCCTGGGCTACACAGTGAGCTCAATGCCAGCCTGAACTTCATAGCAAGACCCCATCTCAAGAAAAATCGTTTCAATAGATATATAATAATACTACAACATAAATAGTGTACAATGAGATAATTCAATATACGTATACAGTATGTACAATGATCAAATCAAGATAATGGCATTTTCATTGCCTTAAAACATTTACCATTTCTTTGAGAAAACTTCTGAGTCTTCTGGTTCTTTATAAAATGTAATAAATTGTTGTCAACTGTAGTCACCCGATTGTGCTGTAGAACACTGGAAATTACTCCTCAAATCTAACTGTATTTCTATTTTCTTTTGTTCTGGTATTAAGGGATTGAACTCAGGGGCCCTCTGCCACTGAACTACACCTCTATTCCTTTTTCTTTAGTTCTTTTATAAATGTTTTTGTTGTTGTTGTTGTTTTGCTTTTTTTTTGTACCGGGGATTGAACTCACCACCTCACGCTTGCCAGGCAGGCCCTTATGCCACTGAGCTAAATCCCCGGCCCTTTCTTTAGTTCTTACTTTGAGAAAAGCTCTTACTAAGTTGCTCAAAAAAGACTTGTATTTGAGATCCTCCTGCCTCAGCCTCCATAAGTCCTAAAATAACATCTATTTTGGTATTCTTTATACGCCTTCTCTCGCTCTTCCCAGCCTCTAGTAACCATGTCTACTTGGATGCAGCTAAATTAACAAATACCATACACATGGTACTTGTGAAAAACTAAACTCTTCAGCTGGGAACACAAAGGAAAAAGTAATGGAAGCACAGTCACGAATTCAATTCCTCCCACAGTCTCCTAATGGGAACCACATGATTAATAAACAAATACTATCCAGAAGTAGTGACCAAAAAAAAAAAAAAAATGGTTTTCTCCACTCTGTTCTGGTCTTGAAGCAGCTGGTGCTCCACCACTGGAGAGGAGGATAGGATTTTGGAATAATCCATTTAGCTGTCTTGGTCACTTTCTGGTATTTGGGAAAAACTAGCGTTTTTATTTTAAAATAATATTCACATATGATATAGATAAGGTTCCTACAGCAAAGTCTGCCACTCTAGGTCTTCTGGGTCCCTTGTAGAATCAACTATGTGTGTGTGTGGGTCTTTCTAGAACTATCCTCTCCATCACAAGCATGGATGGGTAGGTGTGTAAGGGGAGAGGTAATACATACGCTCTTATGTAATACCGTTCTTAACTGTTTTCTGTGCACTAAAGAGGCCATGAGGTTCACACCTAGACAGATAAATTTCACCACTCCATACCGCCTCGATTTTTTTGTACCTGTATGTAATGTATTAAATAATTCTTGAAATGTGGAGGGCACGGACTACAACGTGCAAGTATTTTAACTGGCGCAATGCTGACTTTATATAACAGCTACATCTCTAAACATGTACCTATAAAATAAAATGTACTGCAAATGTGCTAGGAACTCAGCTATTTAAAGGATCCTACGGCTATGCATTTTTTGAAGCTGAGGATCCTTTTAAAATAAACACCACCTCCTAGAAATTTGTTTTATATATAGTTAGGTTTCAAACACTGTGTTAGGTTTACTTAATGTGATATGTACTTACAGATATTGTTATTATAATAGAAGGTGGCTCATTTTATTTTATTTTATTATCTATTTTTGGTACCAGGAATTGAACTCAGGATCTTGTGCTTGCCAGGCAGGTGCTATGCCGCCTAGCTATATATCCTGACCCAGGTGGTCCATTTTAAAAACAGAAAATATGTATGCTTCTTGAAGGAGAAGAATTTTGAAAGAAGAACTTCATTTTGTGGGTTGATATAAGTCATTTAGGTTCTCCAGGGCCGTGCTTTCCAGTCTGTTGGAAGCCAGGATTTTACCTTTAAGAGTCCCAGGGCAGGATAGGAGATATTTGGAAATTTTAACTCAAGAGGTTCCTGTTGAAAAGAAGAGGGGTTTTTAATTTACATCATGTATTCAAATTCAGGTTACCTGAAGTGCTGTTTCTCTTGGGTAAAGCATCTCCCTGGCCACCTCCACCCCTGCCTACACTGCCTTGCATAAGGACCTCAGGCCTCTGTCACAAGCTCTTCTCTCCTCGCCTCCAGACTCTTCCCCATTCTCCTCCTAACCACTCCCTTCAATTCCCGAAGAAGGCAGCCAATTATCAGTAATTACTAATGAGAGAAGAAAAAACAAATAAAAAACACTTGCAGTGCAATACAACTTGCCTTTCCTGAGAATACAGAAAGGGGGTTTGAATTTTGCATTTGCTGACATTGATGTAAAGGGAACCTCAGATGAGACCTTTTCCCTCACCCAGGTAAACAGACGCTCCTCGGATTTCTGCACAAACACTGCTGTCTCCTCCCACACCACCCTCTCCCTCCCCAGCCAGCCATGGTGTACAAGGAGCCCCCAGAGCTGCGTTCGCCAACCTCCCCTGGGCCATTGAAGGTGATCTTGCCCGCAGTCCCTTGCTGGAGGCCATCGTGAGTAGCAGTAGAAATGAGAGCAGCGCTGCCCGAGGTCAGGCAGACAGACAGACAGGCCCGTTAGAGAGAGCGCCTTCACAGAGGCAACTCCGGAGCAGAGGAGAGCCAGCAGGCTGCCACGCTGCACAGTCATGGAGCTGGGGTGCTGTGATCGTCAAGGTGGCAGCGTGAGCCAGCCCCGGGGGTCAGGCCAGTGCTTGGGCCAGCTGCTAACTCAGACTGGGAGGAGGCCCTTACTGATTGCTGATAGGAGACAAGACTCTCAGGTTTGGAGTTCCCCCATTCAGTAGGAGGAAGACATCCTAAAGCAATCCTGTCCTTGGTCTTGATGATGTCATCTCACTCTGACTCCTGCAGGTGACACAGTCCTCCTGCTCTTGCTGTGTGTTGACTGTGACACCAGTAGGGGCTGATGTGACAAGGCTAATGTGGGCTTGCTGTCTCAGCAGTGCTTGGGATGAGGCGGCCCCGGGGCAGGGCCGTTTCCCACCCTCCCTGGAAGGGCTGTGACCGGCACAGGGCCTGGGGCACAGATGTTCAGCCTGCTCAGGCTCCACGCTGCTGTCTTCCTGTGTTTCTGTCAACAGGAAATCTCCCGAAGGACAACCTCAGGAATCTATGGGAAGCTTTCTACATTCATGAAACCAAGGCCATTTTGGAAGCTTCCCCAGTAGACAATCGAACAGGAAACTGCTGAGGGATATTTGGTGCAGAACTGGGAATGTCCAGGGCACAAGGGAGCCAGCGGGGTCACCTCCCACCTCCCAGGTGTCATTCCTGCCTTTCAGCTCCAGCTTGACCCACTCTTCCTAAGGCTACCCCTGCAGAGGGGGAGGCGGTCAGGAAGGGGAAGTCTGCCCTGGGACGAGCTAGGAGACAGACTACAAGTGCAAGGGACAGGCGGAACTTCCATCAGAGACTGAGCAGTCAGTTTCAGTTTGAAAGGACCACTCTCAGCCACTAGGGACTCTGCATTTCACAACCCTTAAATATGCACTGAAATGTTTTCTGTGTTTTTGGCGGTGCTTGGAATAGAACTTGAGACCTTTGCATGCTATGAGCTCTACCACTGAGATACATCCCTGGCTCTTAACTACTTTTGATTGTAATAGAGGTTAATTAGAAGACAATATATATATATATATATATATATATAATGAGACATTTTATATATATATAATGAAAACCATCCAAAATCTCACCACAAAAAGATGCCCATGGTTCATATTTTAGTATATATCCTTACAGCAGCCATTTACTTAACAAATGTAAAAAGTTTGGTATGACTTCCCAGAAGCTGCCATATTGTTCTGTGCTTATATATGTAAATATTTGTAATTGCATTAAATACTTCAATTATATCAAATTATACCTACTGTTTTATAACATTTTTCATTTGACAATATGTTGTAGACTTTTTTCAGATGACTACATATAGATTTAATTATTTTTACTGGCTATGTAATGTTTTAATTACAGACATAACTTAATTGTCTACTACTGAAACCCTAAAGGAAATGATGTTTGTTAAATGCCACATCTCTATGTTTTTGTCTAATGGTTTTGATGGGATAAACTGCTGGAAATGGGTTAAGGGTGCAAACATATTACATTTTGCAGTCCTTTTAAAATGAATTTTACCCCCACACTGGCCACAAAACAGGCATCAGAGTAAGGCTAACCAAATAAATTCACTATGGTTTCCTCACAGTCTGAGGCGTGAGAGCACATAAGACTTGAGAATTTGGACAATGCCAGGGAACCAATATCTGGATTTGTGTAAAAGTTGACTGGCTCAGAGTTAGCTGGGCTCAGCCGATGAGAGTGATAAGGACAGAAGCAGCTAAGGCAGGCAGCTTGCATGCCTGTCTAACAGGCTGGCCACACTCTTATCAGCAGCCTCAAAATTAGCACCAAAGGCCAAGGTCTTTTTGTTTTTTTTTTTTTAATCGGCACCAGGGATTGAACTCAGGACTGCCTGCTTGCAAGGCAGGCGCTTATGCCACTGAGCTAAATCCCCAGCCTGGGTCTTTTGTTTTTAATACCGGGGACTGAACTCACGACCTAGTGATTACAAGGCAGGCACTTATGCCACTGAGCTAAATCCCCGGCCTAGGCCACAGTCTTGCTTCCAATTTGCTCCAATTTTCTTTTTCACTCTTTGATGAAACCTCCAGTGCAGATTAAGCCAAGCAAGTCACTACCGCAACCCAGCCAGCCTGTTCCAGGAGCTTCCTCCAAAACAGCTTGCTCACTTACCATATCCTCAGGGTCCGGGATTTTCACTCCACTGAAGTACTGATTCATGCTAAAGACCTGCTGGTGTCTAGGAATGAGATCCCCTTTGAACAAAAAGAAAGAGAGGGTAAGTGAGATCGGTCAGCAAAACCGTGATCTGTGGTTTACCTTCAAAGAAATTGCATCTGTCTGTGCCTCCACCTACCATGGTGTAGTTTTCTTTGGGAATCAGAAATGTTCAAGCAACACAGCCCATGCTGAGTTCTACTGTGGACAACACACTACTAGGTCCAGAAGTCATAAGCTCCAGAAATTGAAGGCTGCAAATGTCTTGCCTTCCAGGCCTCACAGTGTATTCCAGGAATCCAAATCCTAACTCTAACCCTAACTCACACACACAAATAAAATAATCCCTCTAAAAAATACCAAAAGTGCAACAGAGCAACAACTGCAAACCAGAATTGTATTAACTGGATCCCCATGAGTGGAGATAAAAATGTAGTGGCCTCCTACTGAAAGAGCACCTGACACATATTTAAAAGAGGGAGTGAAGGAAGAGAAGGAGGGAGTTGAGAAAGAAACAAATTATGGAAGATTTTCTAGCTACAGGAAATACGTTCCCAAACCAGAACCACCTTTTCGTGTTTCACCAATTACTTGTCGGTAGGAAATCTCATTTTAACTGTTTCAAAGCACTTACAACAGGGAGCACAGAGACGAAAGGAGCACTTCTACATTCCAGGGGATGGTGGGAATCTCACCCAGCACACACTGCAGCCAAATGGGCTAAAATCGCCCTTGTGTACAAGTCCAGGGGTGGCACACTTGCAGAGTGGGTCCAAGAATATAAGGAGACACCCAGGCCCTCCATCTAGGGAGAAAAAGCCTCTTGATCCGGGGTCTATGCATGCTGCTAAAGACTGGGCTGGAGTTTCCTACACCAGGGCATCCAAGTCTAATTCTACTGATTTTAAAACTTTTACCTCTCACTGAAAAAGCCAAAACAAAAAACCTCTGACCCATTTTGGATGAGCAGTCGAGCGATTACCTCTAATGTCTTGTCCAAGAGCTCAGGAAGCTGGATTGTGAGCACAATTCCCTGCGCCCTAACAGTCTTCTTCCATCAGAGCTAACGGGTGATGCCAGAGCTGTCTTATACCACTGGAGGAAACAGCAGAGAACGGAGGCTGCGTGCTCCCAAAAGGGCTACAAAGTACCAGCTTCTGCAGACGCTGGTAGAGGCTGAGCAGAATATTAAGACCCCATCTCACTCCTAGGAAGCATACAGTACCCTTGGGAAGACAGAAGTAGCAGGATACACATGGTACTGCAGGTGCTATGAAAGTTTACGAAGGAGGGAAAATCTGCTTTGACTTGGGATATTTAGGGATGTAGTTTCTAACCCTCCGGGCTTTTGACAGGCGCAGTCTCTGCTTATGCATCTTTTCATCTGTCCCTTCCCTCTCCATTCTCTCTCTTCTTCTACCCTTCCCATTCCCCTGCAGGGCAGGCAAAAGGACAGGTATGGGGTGGGAAAGCAGGAAAAAGAAAGACATCAGAAGAACCAGGCTCTCCTCCTGACACTTAGGCTGAGAATCTGAAACTTTGATCACTAATATGACACCACAAGTAGAAAGTTCCACACCTGACCTCATATGGCACACTGCAGTCCAAATGCAGGAATTCTACAAATACTGTATAACATTCCCTTCAGGATATGTGTATGAAGTGCATATGAAACATAAATGAATTTTATATCTGCACTTGGGCTTCATCCCAAAGGTATCTCATTATGCAAATATCCCAAAATCCATAAATTCTAAACTGCAAATCACTTCTGATTCCAAGCATTCTGTATAAGAGATACTCAACCTGTAAATGAAATAAGCCATGAAATAGCCAAGCCCCTGTAGAAATGTAAGTTTCTGTGGTTGCTGTGATGATTTTTGAGAAGTCCACTTGATCTAAACTATGCTAAGAGAGAATCTTATGTCCTTTGAACAACTAGTAAATACTCCATAATTGTGAATTATTTTTATTAAAACACAAGTGGGCACCTGTAATACAACCATTTTCATGAGGTTTTCATGTTGCCCTTTCCTGATTGCAAGAGGCATCAGATGAGCTAGAGACCCCGCACTGCCATGCACCAGTGTGGGTAAAACCAGCCAGCTTTCCAAAGGGTGCACTGAGACACTACTTACCCAGGGTTTTCCTGATCAGATAAAGTTGGTCCACATCAGATTTTCCCGGCCACAGAGGCACTCCTGACAGCAACTCGGCAAAGACACAGCCAATTGCCCAGACATCCACTGGGGGACCATACTGTGTGTCCCCCACTAGCAGTTCCGGGGAGCGGTACCACCTAGTGGCCACATAGTCTGTGTAGTAGTCACTTGGTCCAGCTGGCCAGTGATGCAACATGGAAGACAGAAGGAGCCTGGAATCAAAGCTGGAAACGAAAGACCTAAGAAGACGAGCTCAGTCCAAACTTGTGGCTTTTCAGAATCTCTGTTCTCCATCCTGGCTGCACCTAAAAATCCCTTGGAATTCAGTGTTTTTAAAACTGCTGCTGCTTGGGCCACATCCCAGTCCAATTAAACCAGACTCTATGGAAGGACTTTGGAGTATCCCTATAGTTTTTAAAAGTTCCTTGGATAATTCTAATTTGCAGCCAAGACTGAAAACTACTCTCCAAAGTAACACTTCGGAAAAGTATTATTTTAGCAGAAATTAGAAGCCAGGAGAGTAACATACTTTTTAATAACCACTTTACTGTGGTATAATTTACATACAGCGTACATTTCTAAACCACTGTATATGTCCATACATTTTCAAATTATAATTACATTACAAAATTCTGTAATTACAGAATTATAATTTATAGCAAGGGCTGGGGGATTAGCTCAGGGGCATAAGTGCCTGCCTGGCAAACACAAGGTCCTGAGTTTGATCCCCAGTACAAAACACAAAAACAAACAAAACCCCTATAATTTATAGCAAGATTATACTCTAAATTACAATAACCACCTTTCCATAGTGTCTAGATCTATTATCAGATCAAGAATATTTCCATTTTCTACACTTAAGGAAAATTTTAATACTCACTCAAAAGCCGAGCAAATCCAAAGTCACACAGTTTAATTACTGAATGTTTTGTGATGAGGATATTTTCTGGCTTCACATCTCTATGTATGCACTGGTTGCAAAATTAAAAAAAAAAAAGGTTACAAAAGAGAACTATAAGGCATAAATCATATGAATATTTAGCAAGTATTGGATTTCAATCTCTAATTGGCCTGTTCCATGAAAGCAAAACAGCAGCCTAAAATAAATCTAGTACCATACCTATAGCCTGAATCATCCCAAATCCTAAAGGGACCAAAAGGATCAAGAAGGGTAATTTAAAAATAAAAGTAGGGTAGCTACATTGAGCAAACATAAATATAGGATACTCAAATTTGAATTTTAGATAAACAACTTTTTTTAGTGCATGCTAGGCAAGTGATCAACCACTGAGCCTATGTCCAACAAGTCAATTTGAAGATCTGTCCCACGCAGAATCTAGAACACACCTACATTCAAAGGTTATGCTTGCTTATCTGAATTCAGAATTTAACCAGGAGTGCTATATCTACTGTGGCAACTCGACAAAAGGGAAAAAGTTAAAAGACTTGAGCCAGGCCTGCATCGTGGCTGCAGGAGCTGCTAGCTGGTGCGGAAGGAAGCAGAATTCCCAGCTGTCCTGCAGAAGTGAGAAGAGAGCAGAGCCAGCCTCGGCCTCGGCCTCAGCCTCCCTTGGCCTCGTAAACAGGACAAGCCCTGGGCCTGCTGAGATAAGCTGGGGACAAGGAGGGCAGGCAAGCCATCTCCCTCCCAGCTTTGACATTTGTCCTGACAAGATAAACAGGAGCAGGCAGCAGCCCTGTCCTCTGGGGAGAGTCACTAGATGTCAGCTCTGTCCCACGACACATCCATCGAGTGCTCTTAGAAGCTGCTTCCAGCCCTCAACTATGGCTCCTACTCCATAATTTAGACTCAAATCACCTGGCTTCCAGACCGCAGCCTGCATTCCTCAGCAGGGTGATGTTAGAAGAATGCTTGAGGCTCTTCACATGACTTTCTTATTAAATGACAATTTCCTTTGCAAGGAAACCCAAATCAACAGCCTAATAATAATTGCATTCAAAGCTCAGGGTTGCTAATAGTTTTCCCTTCTCCTAAGTGTGTTCCTCTCTAGAGGGAACTCTTTCTGCCACCAGAGACACTCCCTTGGCCTGCAGTCAGAAACCCTAGGGTTACTCCTGGTTTTTTAGATTTTTAGAAATGACAAGAGAGGACAAAAGTTCTTCTTGAGCCTTGCCAGTTGCCATTCCAAAGACTTTTGGGGTAAGGGAGCAGCATTAGTGTTTTCCCACAGCTTTTTATTATTCTGGAAAATGGGGGGTGTTTTATTACAGTCTATCTGGTTTTCAGCAATTAACGGCTCTAAGATCTCTAGTCTTTCACCACTGGCTTCAAAAATTGCTGTAAATGGGTACATCTGTGAATATCCTGATGACACATGGTCAGAAGTGCTGGTGAGCAAGAATGTGCTCCCATCTGCCCTGGGAACTGCTTACAAGTGTCTGTACCCTCCCCCACCAGCTCAGGGAGCCAAGAAAGCATCTGACACTCTCCAAGGACCTGTGATCTGCATTATATTAGCCGTCAGTTCTTCCCCACCATTGTGTTTATGGCAAGAATTTACAGCTTGCCATGTGCCACTGAGCTGTCATGTGTCTCTCTCTCCCACACTGAAACTCACTCTCAGGCCCTAGAGATAGGAAGCAAGCACTCTCCCTGCTGTACTGCTGGACAATGGTGTACCCTTTTTTTACAGAGTGGTGAGGACTGAACCCAGGGCCTCACGCATGCAAGACAAAGGCTCTGCCACGAGCTACAGCCCCAGCCCTGACAAGGATTACAGCCTTCAGCTAACAGGGGCTCAGGAGAAAGAGGTGCTGGCAACTCTCATATTTTCTTCTTCTGGGGACACAGCTTGAAATAGAGCACAAGGTGGGGGATACATTCAGCCCCACCAGCTCAACTGAGCCTGGCAATTGATGGGGCGACAGATCAAAGTTAAACTGCAAGTGTGGCCACATGAAGTTCCAACATTGGAATCTCGGTCTGTTTGGTTTGTTTTTGGTGCTGGTGACACAGAAACTTTTCTCTTGGTTTCTGCATTGCTGGGGCTCAAATCCAGGGCCTTGCATGTGCTAGGCAAGTGCTCTGCCACTGACATTTGCACCAGCTCTTGAATCTGGTTTCTATGAGCAGGGGGTGGCAAGCTGCCCAGCATCTGGTCAAGCGTCCACTGTGCCTCCCACCCGCCCATCTGTGGCCAGGAACACCAGAGGCGTCCTCTGGGCTGCTTCCGGCAGGCTCAGCACTCCTATCTCGCCAGAGCAGCACTCTTGCTTTGGGCTTGGGACTCCACCCACTGCAGCTGGCATACTGCAACTAGACAGGCCGAGGCATCTGGCGCCCCCTCCCAGCTCCAGAGGCCGCGGGAGGGGCCGCCCAACACAGACTCCACATGAATGAGACTTCTACTCCCTGACACTTCAGAAGTTTCAAAACACACAATGACTTTCTAAAACTATTTAATGCATGCTTTATAAAATCTGAGCAAAAAGGAGTAGCTCGGTTGGCATTTTGCACCTCTTATCCCAGTTAAGCTTATTGAAAATTGGGGTGAAAAGTTACACCTATAAAAGCCTGATATAAACATTGTACAAGGCTCCTTCTGAACTTAAGGGCAACCGCCTGATTTTTCAAGAGAGGGCATGAGACTTACATTGTGTTTATGGCAAAAATTTACAGCTTGCAGTGTCTGCCAAGTTATACTCTTCACGAGATGTTCTGGTACCCTAATAAAAATAAAAAGCAGCACACAAACATTCTTTAGTGTAGCCATGGAATTCAGCTCAAGAGATGTAAACCAAGATAGGCCCAGGGAGTAAAAAGTCCTGGGTGACCCAGGGTCATCTCACTTGTCCCGCAGTCATTCAGGAGCCCCGGGTGCAAAGAACATGTGACCAGCATGTGGTTTAGGGATAGCAGCTTTGCAGAACTGCAAACATCTATTTCTCCAGGAGGGGACCATGAAAACCTACAGGGACTTCAACAGAGATGTGTGACCACCTACCCCAAACTTCCCACCCCGCTGGCATTCTGCCTGGAAACTTCAGTGCTATTTCCATGAGGAGCTCTTTGTTGGTGTCAAATCCATGAATAGACAGCACAAAGGATGCCGGGTAACACTATGTTCTACAAACATGTACAAAGGAAGAAAAAGGAACAGAATCAAGAGATGGATGGAGGGGACAGAAGAGAAAGGGGATGAAAAGAGGAATTAAGATGTGTTGTGTACATGTGCCACCTCCCCACAAAGAATGGGATTATTATGTATTGCAAACAGGTGCAGAAAAAAAGAGAAACAAAAAGATGCTTTTTTGTTTTCAAGTAGCTCAAGCTGATGGCTTTGAAGCAAGATTCATCTTCCACAGGTGGGCAAGTCTCTCCAGATTCCTGAGTCATTTTTTGGTTTGGTTTTGTTCTGTTTTTTTAGGAAATGAAGTTCACTGATAGTAAGGAAGAGGCTTGCATCCCACACAACATAACCGAAGTTAATAGTAATTAAATACTTAGATAAACATCTTGGCTCTTTGCCCACGAGGCTTCTCTCCAGCAGACAGCTGCATCCTGTCACAGCCCCCTACCCTGTCTTCTACTGTGGCGAGGGTCCCAGCCTTCTTCCCTCATGAACCAGAGCAAGTAGAAGCCCCAGCGGCTGCTTTGGGTGAGTTAGAAAAAGGCACCTTCCCTCGGAGCATTTTTGAAAACAGGAGGGAAGTGGGCAACAGAGATGCGCTGATTTCAGACCCTGCCTGCCAGCTGGACTCACTATTTTAAAGAATCAAATGTGAAGCGATGCATTGTGGTTCTCAGCCAAAACTAACAAGCAGGCCGCGGAGGAAACACTGGAGTTGTTGTGTTAAAGGTGACCACAAAAAGTCACTTGGATCCCTGTCACCACCAGGACAGGGCCAAGGCCACTGCTGACACAGACCAGACGTTCAGGAAATCCTTTTGAGAAGATCAGAGGGGACAACATGCAGGAAATGGAGAGGCTACCTCCTGGGAGAATAACTGGGTGAGCACTGTCCTGGCTTGAATTTGGAATCTCCACATTCTCTGGCTCCAGTGACACAGACCCAGGTGCTAGAAAAACTTGTCTGTCAAAATAGAAGCCGTAGGAAATCACAGCTATGAATGGTACAGTACAGTTTGGGTTCCCTCAACTTTACATTTTGTCCAGAAAAAACAATATATTTTGATTATTTGATGAATTAATATAAAGTTATCAGTGCTGGGCAACTTTGGTCCCTAACAAAAGTTTTCCAAAATAAATATTTAAAGGTCAATTATAAAGGCATAAGGTCAACGCTCCACTGATGCTACACGAGGCTCCACAACGCTCCACAACGCTCCACATTACTACACGAGGCTCAATGTGGAAACTGGGTCCACACGCTGCCACCTTGGGCTGGCCACTCACTTGACTCCCCCATTACCCAGTTTCTTCTCCAGAATACTAGAGCCTCGGTTCTAAGACCCTTTAAGCTGTCATGCTCAGAGATGATAACAGGAGTCAGGCTTTGACCATGGGAGAAGGGAGTTCTGCATATTGAAAGGCAGAGAGAGAGAGTATATTCTGTGGTGTTAGGTTCTAAACATAGGGAGGAAGGGAAAGAGGCAGGGTAAAGAGGAGAGGGGAGGGGAAGGGAGGCGGGAAGAGGAGGGGAAGGGAGGAGGAGAGGAGAGGGATGGGGAGAGGACGGGAGGAGGAGAGGGGAGAGAAGGGAGGAGGAGAGGAGGGAAAGGGAAGGGACAGGAGAAGAGGAGGAGAGGGAGACGAGAGGAGGAAGACAGGAGAGATGGAGAGGAGGAGAGGGGGGGAGGGGAGGAGAGGAGAGGGAAGGATAAGAACAAGTGTCTCAGGAGGTGCTGTATTACATAGTTTGATCCAGAAAGCTTCTCTGGTTAAGCAAACTTCTAAAGCAGCGGCCAGATTCGGGCCATATTTTACAACAAGAGCCTGCCTGAATTTCCATGGCCTTGCATGTGAGAAAGAGGGGAAGCAGAGCTTCTTGAGCATCCAAAGAAAGCAGGGAGTTCTGAATCCAGAAGAAGAGCCGTGCAGGGAATCTGAACCTGAGCAGCAGAAGCATATTTAGATGGTGCTGAGGGCTCAGAACTCAATGAAGCTCCTGTGCGGTGAATGCAGGTAATGAGGAGCAGCTCAGAGGTCAGTTCTGAGGCTCGGTGACACTCAAAAGGCTGGAATCAGGAGCGGAGATCCAGCAGGAAGACAACACTCAAAAAGAGTACAGAGATGACTGAAAAATAGGGTGAAAGTTCGCATTGAAAACTTATTACAGTAAAACACTCTGTCCAGAATGATGAGATAAGAGGGTGCAAAGCCAATGGTGGACTGTGATGGTTGATACATTGTGTCAACTTGAGAAGGGTAGAAGTTTAACTAAGAGACTCAGCAGGGAGCCAGGGTTCTTACTTTGTAAATATCCTCATTCTGTGCAACAGGAAGGCACAGAGATTTTGTGAGTACTACTTCTGTAGGGGTGTGGAGGGGCGTGTGGCCTGCATACAATATAAGAGAGGAAAGGAGGCTTGTTCTGCCCCCTTTTGCTATGGCTGATTTTGCTGGCTGCTGCCTTGAAGTGTTGCCCCTGTGCCGTGGAGCCACCTGATTATGGACTGAAACCTCCACAAACAGTGAGCTAAAAAAAAAACTTTCCTTCCTTCACTTTGAGTGTTTTGCTGGGTATTTTGTCCCAGCAGAGAGAAAAGTAATGAAGACAAGTATAGTGAAGGAGATTAATGGCAATGTGTGTTTTACTGTAATACATTTAAAAAAGTTAAACACTCAAGTAGGGATCTTTGTCAAATGGGAAGGGGATCTAGAAATGGAAGGGAGGAAGGGAGATGAGAAAAGGAGATGTGTTATGTTGCATGTACCAATCCACACAAGGAATGCAAACATTATGCACTGCAAACATCATGAATAAAGAATATAAACCTTCACTACATCATCTGATTACACCAGGTTGATCAACTGTGTATAGCAACACCTGGCAATGAAAACATCAGTGTGTCCTCCTCCACCATATTCATTGGACCTGGCACTGAGCAACTTCTGGCTCTGCCCCAAAGTCCAAATAATCATGAAAGGTAAACATTTTGATACGACCCAGGGTACTGAGAAAGCTACAACCAGCCAGACTAAAGATACACATGGAAGAGAACTTGCAGAACTGCTTCAGAAAGCAACGAAAAAGGAGCTAAAGATAGCAGATCGATAAGCAACAGAATACAAAGGCTCCCTGAGACAGACAACTCAGATGCTGGAATAAAACATCATGGGGAGGTCCGGCCCCGGGGAGATGGACCCTCTCGATCCAGTAAGAAACTAAAGAGAAAAGAACTGGTCAAACATGCAGGCCCGGGGCTACCAGTGGAGCAGCTAAGATTAGCGGCCATGGTGCTCTCACCACAGTGCCCAAATTCACGCAGCCATGACTCGCTGAGCTGCCTGAATTTCTGCCACTGCGACCTAGCTGCCCCAACTCCCACTGCTGCGACTCGCTGGAATCGCTGTCATGCTGAAGTTGGAGGTCAGCAAGCCCAATAGAGAACGGAGCCGGCAAGGGACATGCATTGATCCTTAGTGAGTGCTGGGAATAAGACCCTCCCATGGGAAAGAGGCGACCAACTGGATGACATGTTGGAATTAGGCAGGACTGGCAAGAACAAGGAACAGCAGTGACTTCAGTCAGTTGTTCCCTTCCCAGACCAGACTGGTGGGATATGCTTGGCCTGGGTCAGGCCTCTGGCCTGGACCCAATAAGTCATCCCAAACCAATTCCATCCATGCAGCACACACTAACTCGGTGAAGGTCCCCACAGGTTGACTGACCCGGAGGGGAGGGGACAGGATACACTGCTCCTGTTTGCACCTTAGTGACCAACAGCAAACTGGAGAGGGCAGAAATTCCTAGCCAGCATACTTCAGAAGAACCATAACCAACAAGGAAAGAGGCTGGGACCTCCTCTATACACCTGTATGGAAGAAATCAAAAACATGACAAGAGAAAGAAACAAAAAAAAAAGTCCCCAACCCCCAGCCCTGAGAACATTGTTCCAGGAGAGGCAAATACAAAAGAGACTGAGGGCAGTAAACATGCAATATCAGACACAGCATCAGCGGACATAAAGAGATATCTTTGGGACCTCATAGATGAACTCAAAACTGAAATATTTAATCAAGTAAAGTAAGATATAAGTAGATTAATAAAAGAAATGCTAAGCACCTCTCAAGAAGACACAGAAGAATAGAGGAACACAAAAAAAGGAGAGAAACGTTTGATGAAGAATATTAAAAAAAAAACCTAGAATACATGAAGCAGGTTCAAAGAGATTACCAAGAAATTAAAAACTCCATTGAAAGCTGGCAAAACTGCTTGAAAGAAACTAAGGATATACCATCAAAACTTGAAGACAGCTTTGCAATGTGAGATCATGAAAGGAAAGAGTTCTTAAAAATAACAAGGAAACAGGCAGTAACAATACAAAGGCTAGAAGACCACGAAAGGATCTATAATTTAAGAATAAAGAATGTGAAAGAAGAAGCAGGAGTAAAAACAAAGGCTATTCACAGAAATAATTAAGGAAAACTTCCCAAGCATAGGAAAAGGAAATGATATTCAGATATATGAGGCATACAGAACTCCAGCCACTTACAACCAAAACAGATCTACACCCAGACATATAATAATCAAGATCCCAG